ACAGCTGAGGCCATTGTCCAACAAATTGTGGAGGTAATTGCACCATTTGAGTTGGACCCAAACTTGTGCGTCGGATTTGATTGTGCGTCTGTCATGGCTGGACAAAAGGGAGGTGTTCAAACAATCCTGAAGAGCACTTTTCAAAATGCAATGTATGTACATCGTCACTCCCACAGACTAAACATAGTCCTGGCATCTGTGGCATGGACATCTGCTGATGCGTCAACTTTCTTTGACACAATCAACTCTCTGCACACTTTCATGTGTGGCAGTCAGCGGCATGCATGTTTCCTTGACGCACAAAAAAAAAGTATCCCAATCGGAGACCACTGGAATTGGAACAAGGATGTGATTGATACAAGATGGAGTTCCAGATCAACGGCAGTGAGTAAGGTGCTCATTCTGTATGATGCAATCCTTGAAGTGCTTTCTGAATATGCTGAAGGAGGGGGCCAATGTCAGATTGATGCACGATCATTATTACAGCAGATGCGAACGAAAATATTTATTTTTTTCCTTGTGCTTTTCAAAGAACTGTTTAACAAGTCAGATTTTGCCACCAAAGGCCTACAGTCCACCACTGTGTCTGTGACAGACGCAGTGAATTTGATTGAAAAGCTCAAACAGTCACTGATGGACATGTGAGCCAGTAATGGTGAATTTTTGAAAATGCTGACCACAACAAATCAGATTATAGAGGACAACAGTGTTGACATGTTTGATATAATGCTGCCCCGTCGCACGTAAAAACTTCAGAGTTGATTTGAGCTAAGTGTAATTGCTGCATCACTGTGAAAATCGACTAGAGTGAGGAGTGAAGACTCGCAAGTTACTTCAAACCAGCTCCTTGACTGCCAGCTAAATAAACTTGGTGCCAGGTTCCAACGTGACTCCTACGGTCTAATGAACCCTGCTGACTCCCACCTGTGACAGAAGCTTGACTGACATAACTAACAGTCTGAATACGGCAGTAAAAGCTCTTTCACATAACCACGAGTGAGTCGGAACTTTCTGTGTTTCTGCAGCACACAAAAAGGAAAAGAGAAAGAGGAGAAACTTTTAAAACACTCATGGATGTGATGGATGGATGCAGTGAAGAAGTCTTCCCTCACATTCACAGCTTTCTAAAAGCACTGATTACTTTGCCGATGACGCCATCCACTGTTGAGCGTATCTTTTCCAGCATTAAGAGAATAAAAACTGCCAGCAGACGCTCTATGCTCACCTCACGTCTGAACTCGCTCTCTCTGTTAACGTTTGAGAGGGATCTTACATCAACTGTTGATTTCGATGAAATTATTGACGTATTTAAAAGCCGACCTCGCCGATCACTTCTGTGAAACAGATGACAACAATGTCCAGGGAATAATTAGGCTACAATGTTCCTAGCCGTGTTAGTTGCAGGTTTGTTTTATTGTTTTGTCTCGAGTTTGCATCATCTCAAGAGTTACTGTTGGGTCAAACAGACAAAATAGTTCACTTCGGGTTGGTTTTCTCTTTTCGATTTGAAGTGTTTTTGTTTTTTCACATTTTAAATGTTTTTTTGGGGGGGGTTTTGAGACAGGGATTGGAGTAAATTTTAATGTCCTTCACCGTGGTTTTACTTTTCTGGTGGTTTTTAAACCGGTGTCGTGAACATGTTCAAGCAACACATTCTGACACCCAAGGCGTCAAAATATGACGCGTGTGCTAAGCCTCAATATATGACAATTCGGGACACCCCAGCACATCAGGATACGACGATCAGGGACAAACAGCTGACGCAGCGGCCCAGAGCGTCGCTATCCGACGCCGGTGGTGAGACGGACATTAGAACTACTTGTGAACTACTTCACCTTCCCTTCACCCCAATCCTAACCTTAAGGTCACCGTTTATGGACCTTAAGGTTAGGATTGGGGTGAGGGGAAGGTTAAATAGTCAAATAATGTCCGTGTGACCCATGGTGTGACCGCGCACGTCAAACAGTGACGCCAGCGGAGCCACGTGACCCGGCGTGTCCCTGATCGTCGTCTCCTGATGCGCTGGGGCGTCCCGAATCGTCATATATTGAGGCTTGATCACACATGTCATATTTTGACGCCTTGGGTGTGAGAATGTGTTGGTTCAAACTCTCCACTAAAACAAATTCAGGTAAAGCGATTGTTATAATTAAACTGTGCTGAACGAAACTTAACAATAAACAATGTTCAACGTGTTAAAAAAGGATCTGATTATTATTATTTATTTTTCTTTTTTCCCCAGTGTCACAGAGTTGATGGTGCTGTGCGCCTCTGATCTGATGTTAATCAAGTTTAGTGTTTTCTCTTGCTATAGCTTGCAAATATCTATATAAGAAGGCAGAAATGTTCAATGTAAGCAGGGTTCGGTCGCGTTGTGCGGATATTTTCCTTATGAAGAACGTTTTTTTTAACGATGACGGAAAATTCTGAAGGTTCATTTGAGAGAGTGTAAATTACACCTCTCATGTAAATGTGCAAAACTGTAAATGCTACAGTTACACAAAGAGACAACGTGAGATAACAAAATCAATCAAGAAAATATTCCCATCAGAACATTCTTCTGGACACATTGTTAACGCAGGCTTGCTGTGGAGAGGAGCTCAGAGCGCCCAGTGCAGCAGAACCAGAGGAGCACATGATTTCCTCCTACTGAAGCTATTGGTTTCCAGCTCTGGAAACCCTTCTGCCAGTAAGAGACTGGCAAACTTCTGTTTATTTCGTTTGGCGAAAATTTCCCAGATTTAAAACTGGCAGCAGTAGCTCGTGTTACACGGACGGCGCAGGGACACAGATTCATCCTAAAATAGCTGTCTGTCTGAGAGCAAAAGTCCAAAATCTCATGACTATAGCCCCTTGTTAGTCCCCTTGTATTTTATTACACACATCACAACTCATCTTCTTAGAGAAAGACAGCATCAAACATTTTGCCACCCTTCCCTTCCTAGGTTGCGTTGCCAGTTGGAGAAAGCAAACCCTGAATGACACGGCTACCACACAACCACGATCTTCGAGCTTCGGGGTCCAATCCAACTGTCATCTTTTGGCCACCCTGCCTCGCGTACAGCCAATCCCCAGTGTCCACACGCACACCCCGCCCACCGCCCTTATAGGTGAAGTCCTCCTCCAGTCCTCGTTAAGCATCCACTGGAGCATTTTGTACTTTGACAGAAAGGAAATCAAGTGGATATTGCATCAAAAATGAGAGAGAGAGAAAAAAAATAAACACAATACGATGGATATACGCAACACTGGTGGTACAACTTATACTAAATATTAAATGAATGAAAATCAGTTAACTCATTCGCTGCCATTGACGACTAAAGTTGTCATTTGCATGTTTTTACTGTGTGGGCGTCGGAACGAGCCCCCGCACCGTGAGAACAAACATCTCAGCTCTAAAGCCGATCTTCACCCGCGTACGTCACACGTCACATGATCAGGAAGCAGAACATCCATGTGTTAGGAAATCGTTTTGGGCCGCTGTTGTAAAAAAAAGTGAGGCGCGAGCCGGAAAAGCTTCTGCCGATCACAATTCAACAACGGGTCATAAAAGAACGGATAACGCTCGAAACACGCGGACTCTTCCTGATGTAAGACGCGAGTCTACTCTTTGTTTTGGTTGTTTTGGCATCGACATCATCCTTGCGCGCAACGCTCTGTGACTCTTAAAAAAAACTGTAAAAACGGTGAGAAACGCTGGCAGCGAAGGGCTTTACCGATCAGGAAACGGCTGGCAGTGAATGAGTTAAATGACGGTAAATGTTTATTATTATTTTAGAAATGAAAGTGACAGGAAAAGCTCTGCTGGTAATAATTAAGGACAATGAAATGTGATCTCTGTAGGCATTGTTCCTACCTGCTGATTTTCACTTGTTTATTAAGGCCCATCCAAAAATGAAAGCCTGGTGCTGAGCCCGACTCCCGGGACAGTTTTTTTGAGCATGTCCTGCTAGTAAGAGGCCCTTGGGTGGACCCAGGACACAGTGGAGGGGTTAAACATCTAGGCCTGTGTTTTCCAACCCTGGTCCTCAGGGCACACTGTCCAGCGTTTTCCCACTGCCGCACTCCTGACTTACATAAACAAGTGATTAACAGGCATCTGCAGCACTTGATGTCGTCCGGACAAGCCAATTTAAATCAGGTGCACTGAAGCAGTCATGGAATACATGTAGGACAGTATGCCCTGAGAACCCGGGTTGGGAAACACTGATCTAGGCTGGTCAGGGAATGCCTTGGGGTCCCACAAAGGAGCTGGTGGAGGAGGGTGGGGAGAGGGCACTCTGCTGCCCCCTGAGGGCTGTTGCATTAAAGAAAACTTCTCAACCTTACTGGATAAGTGGTTTCTCTTTCAGTGCAGCAAGTAAATCTACACAGATTATCATTTGTAATCTGATGTTAAGGCATCCAAATTCTCATTGCAGCGCTTTACTCTAATGGAGTTTCATGCAGTGACTTACCTTTCTATCAACGTACTGAGTGTGTATTGCATTGATTGCTTCACTGTAATAATATATTGTCCCTCTCTGTAAGTTAAAGCCACATTTAGGTTTGCTAAATGAAATGCACACAGGAGGGTGAAAGCTGGGACTGTGGGACAGTCACAGCTTTAATTACCCCGCCAAAGACGGGCATATATTTCAAAACAAATCAATACCTCACCAAGTCACTAATTTATTTGTGACAATAGTTCTCAAAAGGAAATAATGAGCTCTCAGACGCCCGAGGGCAGAGCTATCAAAGATGCCCTCCCTGATGATCATTTCAGATATAAGAGATTAGAGACCATCATTCATTTTTAATGCCAAATCGGCACTTTAAGATAATAGGGTTGTTGCTTTTTTCTGTCTTGTTAGAAACTTATGCTAAATATCGACAAGTAGCTCAAGGAAAAGCAGTATTGGTTTTTTTGGTCACTTTTAAAAAATGTTCCATTTGAAAGTACTTTTAATACATTTCTGTTGTTATTAACTTATAATGCGGTCTAAAAGTGATGACATTACCCATCAGACATGTTTTCGTCAGCAGCATCTCTGTGTTCTTTGGCCATCTTTCTCTTCCAGCACTCGTTTCCCATCAGTCTGCCTCCTTCAGTCTGTTTCTCTGCTCCCATCCATCCACTCGACCTCCTCTTCGATCCTGACAGACGCTGCACCTTAGTTGGCCTTTGCCTCCTCTTCCCATTGTTCCTCACGTGTAATTTCTGCTGAAATCTCACCCTCACATCTGGGGTCATACGCTTGACCTTCCTGCGCCTCCTGAGTGGCTGCCCCGGATTACTCTCAGTGAAGGAATCAGACTCAGGCCAGGAGGGATGCCTCGACCGGACGGGGCTTCTAATGACACAAGGCCAGTGGTCAGTTGTAGTTGCATCGTCTGAGTCGCTGTAGTTGGCCACAGATGCATTTAAAGAGGACAGGTTCTCTCTGTAATCTTTAGCTTCATCCAGGCTGGACTCAGAGGCCTCAATCCAGCATCGTCTACGTGCCGTCGGGTACACGGAGGACTCGTGAAGGCGTTTACGACCCCGTCTGCGGCGGATCTGCCGGCGATGCTGCAGCGGACTTATGACCATCTCCTCCCACAGCTCCCCGAGCTTGCTCTGCTCCGAGGCCTGCTCCAGTGCAGAAACCAGGTCCTGCACCAGCTCATCCATCATGATGCTGGAAACAGAAACACCACAAAAGAAACACTTATACTCCACAAGCAAACTAATATAGGAGTTCATATTAGGTTAGTTCTTGCTGTGTCGTGGTTCTAATTCCATGCTGTCGTTCTTTTTTTAAAACACAGAAACGGTTCCGTTACCTGTTTTGTCGCTACGTTTCGTCTGCGGCTGCAGACTTCCTCAGGCTGACGCTGATGGAGGCGTCACTTCCTTCTCCGTTTATCCGCGGGCAGCAGAGGACGTTGTCGCCCTCTGCTGCCCGCTCTCCCCTCTCCGACGATGCAGTCCCATGCGCGGTCCAACGTGTCAACTCCATCGTCCCTGTTCATGGTCCCACATCCACGTCTCCTTATCTCGATTGCTTCTATGTATGTTTTATTGCAGAGTTTGCATGGGATTTCGTAAACATTCGTATACATCGTAGAAACCGGACGACAACCCAACACACGAACAATAAAACATAGAAAGGAGTGTGAGAAAGAGGCAAGTAGAAAACACACGAGAGCAGCAAAAGAAGAAGCAGAAAGCATAATAAAGAAGTCAGCCGTAACAGATCACTGCATAAGAGAAAACCATATAATGGACTGGGACAACACAAAGATCATAAACAACGAACAACAAAAATACAAAAGATGGATTAAAGAAGCAATCGAGATAAGGAGACGTAGATGTGGGACCATGAACAGGGACGATGGAGTTTACACGTTGGACCGCGCATGGAACTGCATCGTCGGAGAGTGGAGAGCGGACAGCAGAGGGCGACAACGTCCTCTGCTGCCCGCGGATAAACAGAGAAGGAAGTGACGCCTCCATCAGCGTCAGCCTGAGGAAGTCTGCAGCCGCAGACGAAACGTAGTGGAAAAACAGGTAACGAAACTGTTTCTGTTTTTTAAAAAAAGAACAACAGCATGGTAATATAGGAGTTTATTTGAAACACAAGTGAAACACATCGTCTATATATAATCACTAGTTCTGTTTTATAAATCTGAAAGGATAAACTAAAACATTCCTTCTGTTTGCCTATTTATTGATTCATCTATGTAATTGTCTTTCGTGAAGACTCACATAGCATTTTATTGAGTATTTCTACATTAGAAGACGTTATCCAGATCAGGTACGATTAACCAAAACAAACACTCCTATTTATAAAATTTATTTTAACCCAAGAGAGCCAAACCATCCCGGAAACTGATCAACCTTATAGTATCAAACAAACCCAACAATTTTTTTAAAAATATCATGAGATTTTCCATCATTTTCATCCTTTTTTTTTATTTATTTCTGTTTCATGTTGCAGGCTGATGTCACCCTACAGTCCAGCAGCAGAATGGCATTGATAAAGCTCACGTAGGAGGAGGTGCGTCTTTGTTGATCGTATTTGTGAAATAAGGCCTTTAAACGCGCGTGCGCATCACCAGCAGCTCGAAAACGTGGAAGCCGTTAGTGCAAAACGCGGTCGAGTCTTTGCAGCGTTACTGCAGCAAAACAATAGCAGAGGCAGGCTGGAGTATCTGCGTGTTGCATAACAGCTCATATCATGTGAGCTCAGCACAAGGAGGAGGAGGAGAAAAAGCACAGCCACACAGCTCCGAACTATCGGCGACAAAGCAGCCGTTTCTGAGCGTTTGACCGCGGCCACACGGATACAGAGACGACGGTGAATATTTACTGTAGTCATTTCATAACAGCGTAGGGCAAAGCCCGCCGTACCCGAGCACTCACCAGTCGCAGCTTGTCTTGTTTTGTTTTCAGCACACAGCTGGGACAACAGACGCACCTTCCGCCCAGTGATCCAGCCAATCCGGTGGCTCCGCTGCGGAATGACGTCATTCCAAAACAGCCCGCAGTAGCAGGGAGCCAAAATTCAGCCTTGGAGGATGCAGATAACAAGCTGACCACCATCATTACGTCATTAGATTAAGATATAGCCACAGTTCTGATGACATTTGCATTAATAATTTACTAGGATTAGATTGTGGATTAAAATGTAGTAAAGGGCTTTATTGTTCCCAAGAGGGAAATGGTTATAGTATTTGTGAGACCCATCAAAGCCTTACATGTTTGCTGTGCAAAATCACGCACACATACAGGACACACATTTTTCTGCTTAAACAAATAATTTTACAAGCTAATTCAAAAAATCCATGCTTGCAACAGCAAATTACCAAACAATCTGCAGAGACAGTAGGCAAATCCTTCAGGCTTTAAAGGGGACTTATTATAACTTTTTTATCGTGAAGTTCTTTGCACAAAATCTCTCTCACATTAAGCAATTTCAGCAGTTTTATTCTTGACAGTTTCAGTACCTTCTAGCATAAGCAGTTTCAGTGTTCTTTCACTTTATGAAAAGAAGCAGAAGCTGGCCACGCCCACCCATCCCTGATCAGGCTGCTATGAGAAGCTCCTATATCCAGAAGAGCTTGTAGTACCTGTTGCTCTATTCTATTTAATTTCCCTATTTGTGACATCACAAACAGAGACTTTTTGAAACCACTTGTTTTAGGCACATGACTCCTAAAACCAGTTACCAACAGAAAATGGATCGACAAGTTTCTTTCGATTCTTCGGCATGAAATATTGTTGGGGGGGGGGGGGGGGGTGTGAGAGCATGTGAAGAGGGTCAGATGATGTGTGTGTCTTATGCTCAGTGTGTGTTGGCAGTCCTGGTAAATCCGCTTTCAACCAGTAGGAGGAAAAGCAGGAAACTTTTGTTTTGTGTGTGATTGTGGTTATGGTTGTGTTTTTACATTTACATACATAGAAATTGAGCATTTTATTGAATCTGATGTGCAATCGACTGGGGAACTTAAATAACTTCCTTCAGTCCTTCATAATAAGAGTCTAAAACTTACACATTTACCACAAAATATGTAAATTATGCAATCTGTCAGGAATATTTAATTGAAAAATCCCAAAGATTTTTAAATACCCTTGCGTCTGCGAGAGCTAGACAGCTTGTTGTTATTTGTTGCTAAAACTTCCACAACTTTAGATCGAGTGAACCAAGTTCTTACTGTTCTAGAAACAAAAGTTTAGGGTGAGAATTTTTACATTTACATCAGTTATTTAAAGAGCAAGTCAACCCCTACCAGAGTCTAACTCCACTCCCACTTCATGTTTGAAAAATGCAACACGTGCTGTTGCCTGGCAGACCGTGAGGGCGGAGCCGCTAACAAACACACACTCAGGCTCACAACAGCATTGTGACATCATAATGTACCAGTTTACATCATAGCATACTTCTTAGCCAATAGCAGTGGCAGATTTAAATTAAAATACAGTGCAGAGTTTTTACCTGACAATGGCACAACACTGCCAGTTTTAGTCAGAATATTTAAATTTTAACTAAGATGCACTGAAGTGCCAAATTACTGACGACATGTGTCTGCAGCACGATTAGACACTCGTTTATTTAGCTTATCAGCAAAAAACAGTTTATTTGGGGGCGACTTGCTCTTTAACACCTGGCAGGTAGCAATGAACAAGAAAGCCCTCTGTGATGGCCCTAGTTTGCTTACAATTAAACTTTTGTAGATAGTTGCATGGAATTCTGCTGCTGTTCATGCAGAGTCCATAGTTAGTTAAAGAAATGTGTTCAGAAAACCATACAGCATCAAAGCTAAATCACACATATTTATATCTCTTTGCTTTAAAATAATATTTGAATAATGTATATTCTAGTGTATTGGAGCTCCCTGCGACGAAGAATTGTTTCAGAGCTGATGCTGAATGAAGAAAAAAGTAATTTACCACTTCTTTCATCTATCAGATGAAGGCAAACTAAATAATAAAAAGAGAAAAGTCTGTGAAAACGAGTACAAAAGCCATTTAATCGCTCTCATCTTCTCTTAATAACTGCAAATTTCCCCCTGGGCCCAGGGGAGAGAGCCTCTCTGTGCCGCTGCCCCCTTATCTGTCCCCTCCACATTTCAGCAGGCTGAGCAGCTCCCTCAGTCTGCAGCTCCCGGCTTGTTCTCGTCAGGGCCTGTGGGGAAGCTGGGCTCATGGGTCCACCATTGTTCTGGCCTGGGAGGAAAAGTCCAAAGAGAATACCGAAAATCAGAAAGTGGGGATATAGAAAAGAAAGAAGAGAAAAAACTTGAGCCACTGCTTCATTAAGTGGAACCCTTTCACAAGCAAAAATATCCGAAACAGCCCCCTTTCAGAGGCAGTAATTAGTAATTTAGAAACCTTTCCCCCTCAGGATATACTGTTTCAATTTAGTCAGCAGCTTTAGATACTTCGGCACTTAATATTCATTGTTTCTATCATCCTCCCAATTTCTCAATGCACAATGTCTGCTCTTTCACCGGTGATAAAGTGTTTTATCTGTCATGTAATTCTTCTCTTCAGTCAGCCTTCTGCAAGAGGAGTTCATTTTTTAACACTCTTTGAAAACGAATTAGCAGGAAGCGATAGGGACATGAAGTTTTTATGAAACTGAAGTTCACCGATTAGGTATGGCAACAAACTAACTATGGAACTTATCGTAAAACGGACCACAACATAACTAATTATTCTCAATGTTTGGAGGATTTGCTGCCAAACGTGTGGGTTGCAGCTATAATGCTCATGGATTTAATAGCAAACGTTTCCAGACTGTTTATTAAGCCAAACCACATAAAACGCCTCGGGGGGGTGGGGGGGACTCACACTTATCTTTGTCTCCATTGAGCCTTTGTTTCAAAATCTCACCACTTCCATTCATTTCCAATCTGCATTGTCTAATAGAAATAATTGATTTTTGCCTCTTCCTCACAAATGAATAACGCTTGTGATTAAACATTTTGTCTCCAAATCTAAATTCCAAGATCGCCATCAGAGCTTGGGAAAAAATAGGCAACTCATTAAAGCAAAAACACAAAATAAATGAAAGGAGGAGAGAGGGAGAATAGCTAAGATGTGAAAAGGGGAGGAAGGAAATGAAATAATGAATGGAGTCCGAGCGAGCTATCTTTCCCAGGCAGAGCGCCACTAGGGATGCAAACTCTCAGCCACCAGAAATGAGCTACCTATCTGTGAAAAGAGTGACTGCTCCATCCTATTTGATTTGGCTCTCCTATCATCTCTTAAGAAGATGTCAGCCTTGCTTCTTCTATTGCTCTGAGCCTTTATCAACCCGGAGACGATTTTCCTGCAAAATACAAAAAAAGGAGGGAGGGGAAGCAAGAAAGGGGGGGGGAAGACACATTTCAATGCCTTTCAGAGAGCAACACTAAAGAATAAGCGTTGTGCGATAAAAAAAGAGGGTTGTTAAATAGATCTGTCTATTTGTATGGTAATAATGATCACTTAAAGACTCGGGTCTCCGTGACTTGTAGAACAAGGAAATACATCTCTATGCAGGTATTGTGTTAACACGACTCTCCAAACGACCTTGTGAAACTTTCATAAAGTAAAAAATGAGTCGGATTTGAGTTTTTCTTTTTTTGTGTGTTTGTGTCGTTCTCTCAGAGGAGGAGGAGTTGTTGGAGGGGATTCTCTCAGGAAGTCGTCGTCTATAGCCCCTAATGTTAAATTATCTGTATGACAGCTTTTATAGACATCTATGGAAGCCCTGTTTATAATAAATTAGTTAATTTAATAACTTAAGCAGCATGTAACATTGGTGATGTTATAGCTGCAGTGTTTTTTAGACAGTTGAAAATTTACTCAAACATGTTGTTTTGAAGAACTGTTTGACAGTTGAAGCAGAGTTCAGGTAATCTTTAATCTTCTTGTTGGATTACTTGATAATCTACAACAACCAGTTAAATTAAGACTGATGACAAAATGCTTGCTCTACAGGTTGGAAAAACTCAAAAGTGACAGTGCACATTTGCAATGTTTGCATAAATAGGGTGATTTATCTTCTTCTGAGAAATGGAGAGTTTACATGTTCAGATTCTTGATTGTGATGGTTATAAAATGTTGCAGCAAAGACGGTCTGAAATCTAAGAAGCTGCAACACTGCAGAGTCAAAGCTGCAAAGTCTCTGCTTTCTTCAAAATCCAAGAGTTTCCGAATTAATCAGTTCTGATTTAAAATTATAACAAAAAGAGCCGATTATGATGTGAGTTAAATATGCGTTTGTGGGGTCACCACTGACTGCATTTGCCATTGACTTCCTATGAACGTTTTATCCAAACTGATAAAATCAGTTCCGTAGGTCAGTGGGTTTTTCAAAGTAGGGGTCAGGACCACCAAAAACTGCACATGAGGTCTTGAGATTATTTCCAGAAATCAAGATTCAGTTGAAAAACATTTGTTGAAGCTCAATTTGTAGCATAATTGTTAGAAAAGCTAAACTTTGGAGGCCTATTTCCTGATATTTGGACATCTCACCCTGAACTGGATAACAGCAAAGCGACTCTACCACTGACTTACGACGTGGATGCTTTATCTCCCCAAAACAACACAAGCCTGGAGGACCTTCTGCCGTGTGGTGAAGTTGCTAATGCTAACGATTAACTTAAATGAGCCAAGATGTCTGCTGCTGTTTCACGGACTTTAAAACAACAACAGCCTTCCCCGTCATGACTCAAGATCAGTGAGTCCATGAACGCTTATTCACAGTGTGATGTAGATCTGTGAGGATTTTCAAATCCTAGATTTTCACCGTGTATTTTTTATCATCATAAGCTAATGCAGGAGATAGGTGCAGGAGAGTACTTTCATGTTCAGCCTGCATGAAAACTCAGAGGGACCTATGCACAATGCACAAAATAACACATAGAGAGACGTGCTACCCATTGGTCACTGGATAAAGTAAAAAACCAATAAAAAAAGCTTTAGCCTCTCTCTCTCTCTCTCTCTCTCTCTCTCTCTCTCTCTCTCTCTCTCTCTCTCTCTCTCTCTCTCTCTCTCTCACATTCTTTGATCATGGACATTAAAAATGAAACAAACCCAAAAGCTTCCACCCACAGGTGAGGCACTTCGAGGTGTTAGAAAACAAAAAAATAAACTTCTTCCTGTCTTACATACCACATCTCTGACTACACTAATGTTTAACCAAAGCTGAATATAAATTCACAGTTTCAAATTTAAATTCTCAGAAGTGATAGAATAGAAATAATGATTTAAAGCTTCACTGATTTAGCATATCTCAGAAAGTCACAGCATTAAGCCATCATGGTCTGTAATAGTTTCCTGGAAAGAAAACATTTAGTGAAATGACTCAAACAATCATTTACAGTTTTATTTATATCTCTGCCTTTCTTACTTCTCTTTAAAAGGCCCTGAAGCATGATTTTCACACTCCAACTCGTTCCCTTCAGTGTCTCAGAAATTTACGTCAAGACTTTCTGGAACACCTGAGGGTAAATGTTCAAATATGTGATCAAAAAAACCGTTTAGCCAATTCTCTCTATACAGCGTCTCTATTGTATTCTTACTTTTCCAGTTTGGTTTTCCTTCTATAATTAATTTCTTTATTCCAAATAAAAACATCTGATTATATTCAATAAAATTCTGCTCACATATTTGGATACTATTTAAAGAGCCTTTAAAACACATTTTGTGTTCATCTTTCATAGAAGTAGAAGTATTTCCCTCCGTTGATGCCCAGCAGAGGAGGAGGGGAAACGAGGACGGATGCAGACTACATGTCGCTCTGCAGACCCAGCGTGGAAGGCATTAGAGGCGGATTGATTAGTCTGCTCCACTTGGCTGATTAATCAGGACCTGTTAGGTGGAGACGAGGACCATTTATGGCTGATTATCTTCTCCAACGGCAAAAAGGCATAAGAGGCAATTCACAGTGAAAGTTTCCCACCAAGAGAATTTTCTGTTTCTTTATTGCACCTTTGATCCTTCTGGTTACACGTCTGGTTTTTAAAAGAGGACCGTCTGATCCTTCTTTAAAGCATTTGAACTTTCTCTGTATTTTTTGAAGTATAAAACAATAATAAAAATACGTACAAGTACATATTAAAATAAAACAAGAAAATGTGTTTTTATGAAGCTCAGCATTTACATTTATTACATTTGTGAAATAAATGTTATTTTGATGAATCCCTAAACTTTTGCCAACAGAAAAATTAAATAATCTGTCCTTTGGTAAAATTGATCTCAAATGCAAAAATTTACTCTGTTGCTCTTTTCAGTTTAATCTTATTATACTTCTATATCTTCTTAAAACTTCATATGCAAATAAACCAGGAGTCAGTGAGGCGAATATTCAGATCAACCTATTAAAATATTAACTTAATAACTTGCAAATGCTGTTTTTTATTTGTACCTAAAACCAAAGAAAATGCTTTAAACTTTAAGAAAGTGCAACTACTTAAGTCAGGTAAGTTTATAACAGAATAACACACCCAACTGGAAAGTGGGATCACATCACCAGACCATAATATTTTTAAGTTTCTGCTCATTTGCTGCTGTAAGAGTGAATGAGCAGACCCACATGGGGCTCCTGTGTTATTTCTGCAGCAAGCATGCTCACACGTTCTTTTTTTCTCCTCTCAACGGCAGAAAAAGAGAAATTTGGTGGTATCAGCATCCTCGTCTGTGCAGTCCCAGTTTTAATACTCACACCACATGTTTTATGGTCCAGGCTTGCAGCTTGCTCTCAGCTGCAGTGTGGCCTTCCCCAGCCTGGTCACCCGTTTCCGTTTATCTGCTGGGATAACTATAAAAATCTGTCAGGAGGCAGGGGTGGGCTTTTTCGCTCGGCTCGGCCCTGCTGGCAGATTGAGAGCCCCCTGTAATGCACAAGTCTGTTTTTATTATTCTTGCTGAGGGAACACTATTTCATCAACTGCATGATTCCACAGAGAGGAGATAGGCCCCAGCCCGGCTGTATTTCTTCCAATCAAACATTCCAAGGGGAAAAAATGAGTGGGTGCCATCAAATCCCAGAATAATGCTGCCAGATTTTATGTAAAAAGAAGGACTGATGGACAAATACAGGAAGGCAAGACAAGTTTAATGACGTGTGTTCAGGAGCTGAGATTGGAAAACTGACAGAGAAAAGCAGCCTCTTTGCTGGAATATAAATTGTTGTGCCCTGTAAAAAGGCTTTTATCTGGAGTGAATATGGGACGTAATACACAGGTCAGGGTTAAGTCATTTTCTCCGGCAAGTTAAGCGAATAATGAAGGCGAGCCCGCGCGGAGAGGAGCACTACTGCTGCCAGTTTGTCTTCATTTATTATGCCAAATCTCATGATTTTGGCGTTGGCGCGGCGAGTGCTCTGGCGCGCACCGGTGGACGACATATCGCTTAATTTACACAAGGTAATGAAAGCAGGGAATGGGAGGACAAAACAATTTACCTGCTGACACGGGAAGAAGTGATTTGCGAACATGGGGGGAAGGGGGGGGGGGGCATGGGGTGGAAGAGGGGTGGCGAGGGGAACAATCAGAAATGGTTCAGACAAACAGGAAGTCAGGCTTCAGTGTCTGCTCCTCAGATGATGATGATGATGATGAATTCAATGAGGCAACAGTAAACCACACACACACACGCACACACACACACACACACAGTAAAAAAAAATGCAATCAATGGACGAAATTGACCTCAGATCTGGAGGGTGTGCTCTGACGAGGCCCTCCTTTTACCTCCTCTTCCCCCACACAATCGTAATCACTCATCAGAGAGACGCTTGTGATGCGGGGACGGGGGACTTCACCAGTCCTTCTGAGCTGCAACACGTCTTCTCACACGAGTAAATCTTTAAACTCCGACAGAAAACGTGTGCACGAGTGGAAAATCAGAGCTTCTTATTTAGGAAAAATAAAAGAAAAAAGAAGTTGCATCCATAGGTAAGGCTCTCCCAGTCACTTTGCTCTACTGATGGACGCAGTCTTAAAGTGTCCATCTGGCCTTTCACACAAACAGAAAAGAGTCTGGCTGAGACTCTCTGACAATGTGGCCGCAGCTGCACTGTAATTTTCCAATCACCAGCCCTTCAGGCCAGACCACTCCTTAGGGCAGTAAGATCAGATGGGCCTGAGTATTTTCTTTTGTAAGAGGCCAAACTCTATTTGTCCGCTTGCAGGAACAAAAGCAATCAGGGAGCTAAGAGAGAGAGAGAGAGAGAGAGAGAGAGAGAGAGAGAGAGAGAGAGAGAGAGAGAGAGAGAGAGAGAGAGAGAGAGAGAGAGAGAGAGAGACGGGCTTTTTGGTCTCTCTGGAAACTGGCCAAAGATGGAGCAGGAGGAGGTAGAGGAGGGTGAGACAACATGGTCCCCCTCCTCTCCTCCCTCCCTCCTGTCCACTGTGGGTGGGTGGCTGGTGGGTTCTGGTGATGATGAAGAGGGACGGGGCTCGGCACCGGGTCCCTGCTCTCAGCTCTCTGCAGGACGAGACACGGAGAGGAAGTGTCACTCTCTGCAGGCCTGCTGAGGCCAACCTGGACTCTGCTGAGTGCCGCTGCTCGAGTCTTCACAGCAAATGAAACACCATCACACCCACCGCCTAGCCAAAACGCGGCCACACACGCAGCTAAACGAACGTCTGTCTGGAAGAATGTACTAGACACCATAACCAGACTGGATATCCTCGCATCAAACACGGGTTGAAATTCAAGAAAATTCAGTTTGAATCTAGAAGGAAGGGGGGGGGGGGAGGAGATTTCTCTGCAGGCTTATTTCCCCTCACAATGAGAGGTGACAGTGAACAGTGGAACTCGTCAGTGTGAATAACACGCAGTTACGCTTGGTGACACCCTCTGGTGGAGCACGACACACTCGCCCACACACACTGACGCACACGCCGAGGCTGGAGGGCCCCTGTAGGCGCACTGTCAGCCTCACCGCACTGCCTTCCATTACAGCTTAACTGGAGACAAATTGAGCAATCTGATGGGTTAAATTTGACACGTTTGCTTGTCCAACCCATGTTTCTTGCACGGGACAGACACGTTTCATAGCTCTGTGAGGCGGAAACGGTTGGATTTTCATAAATCAGCACAAACAACAGATCAGGTGGACCTCAGCCACGAAGTGTCCTTCAGCAGCACTTTAGAAGAGGAGCCCATAACACAACCAGTGGTCAGGCTTAATTTACCCACTTCTCTGTCCACTGCTCCATCAGCATATAGTATCACATAACTGCTAATGGGCTAATGGAGGAAGGAGGGAGGAAGGGAGAGAAGGAGGGCGAGGGGAAGAAAGCGATAGTTAGGGAAATGGAGCTCAGGTTCATCCAAACATTTAATAACTTGTCCAATCTGGAGTGTTCACCTCTTAGGTGGGCTAATTACATCATTTCACCGGCCTGGACGAGAGGGTCCAGCGTGGACGCTCCGTCTCACGGTGCCATCACATAATTATGACTTATGCCGATGAGGCCTGGCAAGCTGGATGAAGTCAGCTCGTCATAAATTTTAATGATCACTTAGACAATACGAACGTTTGCAGGAGTTGTGGTGGAATTAAAAGGGAAAGACTTGTGCCGGAGTGTGGAAACATATAAAGGAGGAAGAGAGAGAGAGCGGAGAAGTGTGTGTGGCATGTTTGGGGACAGCGAATTTAGAACGGGCAGACACAGTTGCTTGATTGTTTGAGATCAGGTTCTGTGGTCAGCGGGCTGCTGGGCAGGCCGACGTCAGGCCTGTCAGAAGACTAAACACCCGAGTATAGACTGATTCAATGGAAAAACAGCAGCTGACACTCAACGCTCGCAGGCCAACAGCTGACCTCATTCTATGAATAAAACGGAGACGGACAACGGCCGCAGCATCACGCGTGGAAAGTCGACTCTTCAATCTCCACTGCAGCAGAACTTTTGTAAGAGGTGAAAAGATCTTAGCTGAGGCCGTGATGTTAGAAAACAAGATGAATGTAATAAAATAAAATCAGCTGTAAAATGGCTAATTAGCTTTCTGTGATTGAGCATTGTGGAAGCACACATTTAGACTCTCCTGGTAAAATAATTTCACCTTTATGGAGTAATTAAGAAACCTTCCGCGACCTCCAAGACGAGAGGACACGTTTCATGAATCAGAATTTGCTTTATTTAATGTTGAATTGGATTGTCTTTATTATAACAAAAAGAAAAACACTGAGGAAAAGAGTGTAAACCTGCACCACGGAATAAAGATCATTGATCTGAAGATGTGCAGGGTTTGCCAAGAAATTCTGCTCTTATGAAATAAAGAGAGAACGGGGGAGCACGCCAAAGAGAAGCTGATCTCCTCTGCACTTAATATTAATGTCTGTTTTGTGGCTATCCTGTTTCCGGAGAAGCCGGCTCCCGCGGTGGAGCGATTGAATGACAGAGATTACCTGTGTGGAAAGCCCCACGAGACAGCTGATAGATAATGCATGACAAAAATGTTTTTGTTTACTCACAGGTTTGGGTTTGAGCAAGGTTTCGGTCTCTTGTTTTGGTTTTTGCCCTGTTTTTCCTTTCTTTCTCCAGAAACCTGATTCTCAGAAGTGACGTGGATTGATGGGAGGGATGGACTGTGTTGGCGTCTGGCTCCACGGGAACCCGCAGCACCTCAGCAACCGTGGGTCATCCACATCATACTCATCCTGTTGGGGCTGCAGGGACATGAAAACATCATCTCACGCCGCCACTTCATTCCTTCAGCAGCATTAGATTAGATTGAAACTTCCCTGCACACTTTCCTGGGGCTGTCAAATGAGCTGTCAGTCATGTGTCAGAGCCAGCCCCCACTCATCTGCTGCAATACATCACACAGCCTTTTCTATGGATCTGTATGAGGGGGAATGCCAGCAGCTCCTCTGCTGGGGCATGGTGGCGGATTGATCCCATCCCATCACTTCTTGAGATTGTTGGTCAGAGATGAAAGCAGTTAGTTGCATTTTTAAATGAATCAAACAAATGTGCATAATTACAAGATGCTTCCTGTTTATCCACGTGTAAATATGAGTTATTGTTTCTAATATCCTCTGCTGCTGGGTCCAGTATGAGATCACTGAGGGGAATCCTGAGCCGGGCTAATGGGCACTTGGCACATAGACAGCTTTCCATCCCAACCTCAGTTTTACTAATCCAATTGAGGCAACCTGCTTGGCACGAAAGTGCCTCATCTGTCTTTACTGTTCATTATTCCAGCTCTGAGACATTCACATTCCTTGGGATCGGCTCAAGCTGCTTCGCTGAAATGCTGCATCCAAGTTGGAATGGGGGTGTAGATTTAAGGTATAATCACCTCTGAGATGCATAATCAGGGCTACGTGGGGGAAAGAACAAGAAAACATGTATGAAGCCAAAGTGGAGGTTTTAGCAGAATCCTGCTTTATCTTTATATCTAGCTGGAGTTAGAAGCCTTCTTTATTTGTTTTATTCTTTTCCTGCAGCAGATTTTACTGGGGGGAGGTGGGGGGTGGGGTGGGGTGGGGGGGTGATAATGTTTCTAATCTTGTTAGATTGTGCACAGAATTGTCTCCCTTGTTAATAATGGACCAGCCCCCTCCTCGGTCCACCGAGATGCTTCCTTTCAATTTGTGTACTGTCATCTCCTCGCCACAAAATTGATGCCCCCTCTTCCGTTTAATTAAATAAAAAAAACAGTCCAGGTTCACGCAGGTGGAGCATGCAGCAACCTCAAATGCTCCAGCACAAGTTTGAGTTGCTCTTGAATATTCCTGCATCCATTAAGTCACATGATTCAGGTCCAACTAACTGTTTTATTATAAAAATGCATTTGATGAAAACAAATTTCTTTTGGTTTCTACAAAAATCTGATTTCTTTCTGTAAGCAAGCAGGTAAAAAATAAATAACAATCCCAGGGATTTCTCTCAGGTAGGTTTGCCCTCAGGTGCAGCCGAAGCCAAAGTCTAGGAAATAACAGCATAAAATTCCCACACATTAGAAGGCGGATAATTGGATTTCCTGTGTCCTGTATGGTGGGCGGTGTGGTTCTTGCAGCTGTGACATTATCAAGGTAACATAACCTGAAGGCTGCGATGTAGCAGCACAGGCCCCGCAAGGCCTGTCCTGCAGTTCCACATCGCTGCCTGCTTGGTTATTCATCCTGTGGACCCTGCAAATGAAATTATGGGAGGAAGAGCAAAGGACATTCTTTGGGAATTAATCCCATTTATGCCTAAACCTACTTCAGATTTTTATAGTGAGGCCCTCTTCGGACAGAAGGTGCATTTACAATTAGACATGGCCTTAAAGATTAAAAAATATTGTTTATTTGCTTGCTTGATTATTTTTAGCACATACAGAAAACTCTGGAAAAATACATTGATTGATTTTTTTTACAGTACTTTTAATTTTTAAGCACAAACTGTTTTGACACCTAAATGCTCTGTTACATACCAAATGTAGAAATTGTAAAACATAAGATAAAATTTTAAGAATATGTAAAAAAATAAAATTTTCTGGTTTAAGTATTTGACGTGACTGCTTAATAAAAATAAAAAACAATATTTACATTTTTAATCTAAAGGAAGATTTGGCTTAAATATTTTATCACTTCATGAATATTTTTGTTTGTGCATTCATTTACAAATCCATCAGTCAAACTGTTTGTATTTGAGGAAAAACAATGTTTCATTTATTCAATTGGAATAAATTCTAGATTATTTTTGTGCAAATGTATTAAAAATCTGAATATAAACACTAAAAAAGTGATTACATTTCAGCAAAGTATTCAGGCTCCAACAGGGATATCAGACAGAAAAAGAAGAAATTGATGAAGAAGCTCGTTTTTTACTTAGATTTGAGAGAAAAAAACGTTTTTTTATCATTTGTAATTATTTTAGATTCATTTATTTATTTAATTCGTAAGAAATATTACATTGTTTTGCATTTCTGCTTAACGGCACCTGAGGAAACAGCTGATCAATTAGCGCTGTCCGCATTGCAGATAAACACTGCCCCCTAGTGGGCAGTCTGGAAAATAACAGCTCAGACTGTGCAGGTTCTAACAGAACATTTACCCCACGTTAGAAAAAACAATAAACCATTTGTCTTTTTAAACTTCGATATTAGAAGCTCCTCATTCTAAATAATAATAATTTTGTTTAAGAAACATAATTTTTATTCATAGTGCAGGAAAAAAACCCATTTGAAAAATATGTATCAAGACTACATGTTCACACGCGCGCGCGCACACACACACACACACACACACACACACACACACACACACACACACACACACACACACACACACACACACACACACACACGTTATAGCAAAATGGGAAGGACTGATTACAGCTCCTTCACTGTCCTCATCAAGGCTAGCCGTTGACATTGAAACCCCCAAACACACACTATTGTACTGTACCTGCACACACACACAAACATGCAAAAACACCCAAAGACACACACTGTGACTCTTCAGGCAACCACAAAGCCCAGGCAGGTCCCTGCCATTATCCCGTCCTCTACCCTAAACACGCAGTTTTAATTTCAAAGCTCTGATTAGCTGATGATTGCATGACAGCCGCCGACCAGGTTCCCTTTTCGCCCGGCTCCCAGACTGCAACTCAATCATGCCCAATTAGTGGGTCCCCAAACACACTCTCTTATTAGAGGACTCATAATCGACTCATTGTGTCCTGATTTGGCAAATAAATCACTCTGGAGGCTGCTGACTCCCCCACCTCCAAACCCTTTCCCCTTTCTCTCACTGCCCCCCCACACACAAGCCCACACTCCCTCTGTCTTTCACTGCCCACTCCCTTTCTTTTCCTTGTCCAGGGGTTCAGTGACAACGTTTTCAGGCATGCTTTTCATTGGAGCTGACAGTTTGAGCAACGCCATCGCTCCTTTTTTTCATTCCCCCTGAAGAATGAAGAATAATTTAGCGGCTAAGGCTAGGCAGGCAGCATGCGGGTGTCCTTGTCCTACAAGGTTAAGAATCCATTCCATCTGGGCAAGAAAGGAGTGAATTAAAATAAATGATGGTCGGATATTTATTGCGGGTTTTCAGATGAAGCCCAGTCATTCTGCTCGATCAGTGGGGACTGGACTTCTAGTGTGTTTCTTGGGCTTGGTGACCTCCCCTGCTCCTCCCTGCCTAACTGGGGAACAACACTCAATGTCACATAATTCCTATCCTGCATTTATTATATTTATAATTATATTATTAAATGTATATTTTGGGGACACGGAGGCAAATAGGATTGCAGGACAAATGTAAAACTAGTTAGTGGATTTTTATAATAGGAAGATGATTGAATAAGAGATTTGTATAAAAAACTGAGTTCTGGAGACGGACAGTCTGATGAGATGGGACAGGAAACATGAAAACACAAATGTCCTTCAATCAGGGGACACTAAACTCAACGCATGAAGCGTTGACCTATTTAAAATGACGTTGCATTTTATGGAAGTCTTGTAGGAGGACACAAACAGAAGATCTCCTGACTCACACGGATCCTTGCTGCATGCAGAGATCCAACCGAAGAGCTTTACAGACTCAGCTGGAGCTCAGAGTCTTCAGGAGCTCTGTGATGTTGCGTTCAAGCAGCAAACTAGTGAACTGTGATTTAGTGGAGTCAAACCTGAACCTGAGAGTCGCCGCGTCCCACTGTGATGTGAGCTCCTTCCCCAAAGCTCAAAAAGACTCGAGTCCCCTCATCCTGCTGATCTCTTTCAGCCACACCGAGTGAGTTTTTTCACCAACACTGTCTACTTCTCCTTTTCCAACAAGACAAGAGGTGTGTGTGTGTGTGTGTGTGTGTGCGTGCATGCGTGTGTGTGTGCGTGCGTGCGTGCGTGTGTGTGTGTGTGTGTGTGTGTGTGTGTGTGCGCTCAGTGATCACTAGTCTCTGTTTACATGGAGAAAGTCTGACCAGCTGGCTAGTGAAGTGTGATGGGCTGCTTTGAGGTCTACCACTGTGAGACCCCCACGGCAGAGTCGTAGAGGCCCAGCAACCCTCTTCCCCAGGTGGGCGGCGGAGATCGTGTTGAGCCCTCAGCAGATGGAGCCCCCAGCGACTCTCATCTTTCCTCCGCGAGCTGAGAAGAGGTGGAGCAAGCGCTGGAGGTGGGACTGGCCCCGGCTCCCTTCACAGATGCCAGGAGAAGGCAGAGATCCTGACGAGGTCCTGCTGGGAGGGTGCTGGGCTGGAACAGGTGCAATCTCAGCCCCTCCATCCCCTCTGTCAGCACCTCAGTGGTGGAGCCCACGCTCTCTTCCTGTCCTCGTTCAATCTCATTCACACACTCGAGAGGTGTTGAGGGACTACATCCAGCCCCTCCCTCCGCCCAGCAACAAATCCAGACACCAAAAATTACAACCAGACACAGTTCAGCACAACTATCTTCCCCTGCCATCTCTTCTAAAGGAACAAAATTACAAAGTTCGTGGCAGACTTGACCCTCAGAGGGCAAACTACTGAGTTGTGTTGACTCAGGCATTTTCCTCTGCTGGCCATGATAAGCTTCTCAGATGACCTCACAACAGCCAAGGGGGGCAACACAGCCACACTCCCATCAGCCACTGCTTTATTGCCAGCAGCTACAAGACAAAGAGGTTCTGCTGTGTACCTGGCTGCATATAGAAGGAGTTTATGACCGAGGGTGGGGAGGGAAGGTGGGGCGGTGAGGCCCAACCGGCCACCTTGAACTGTCCCTGCACAGGCGACCTTGGTAAACCCCTACCCATTGCCCCACAGCCCCCACAGCGACCTGGTTACTCCAACTGCCTCTGAGTTATTATCATAATTTCCCAGAGATGCATCGCAGGGCCTCCGGACCAGAGAGGCATCCGTGTTTTACAGAATGTTTTGTGTTTTATTGCCTTTAAGTCACTCATAGGCCAGCCAAGAGGGCCCACAATGATAAGAAAACCAGTCATGTGAAAAATGCAGGACCTTGCCTACAAGACGGAGAGGTGAAGAAGGGGCAATAATAAAATACATGACAAATGTAGAGCCCGCCTGTATTTCATGTTCAAACCCTCTCGCCTTCCAACACATCCCTGCACAAACATAAGAGAGAAAAGCAGAAAGTCACACTTAAGGATTCAGATCTCACGGTTAGTAAAAACTCTGAAGCTTTTTTTTTAACCCCATCTCATGGTTTCTACTCTCAGTTCTCTTCGTGAGACCTTTGCCAACAGGCGGTAAGATGCCCAGGGGCTTTCCAAGCTGCCATCAACCCATCCATTTCATGTCCGAGCCCACCTGGGGTAAACAAAAAAGAACTCAGACCGACGGAATATTAACTAAAGTAGAGAGAGGGGGAATAAAATAACTGAAATTACTTTTTCAGCCCTTCAAACTTTAGGTCTTAAAAAAACACCACTTTCATTGTCTCCTTTGTGGCGTTAATTCCCCCCTCCCTCCTCTGCCGTATCCCTCCCTGAGGGCTTTAAAAGGTGCAGTATAACTAATGAAAAACAAAACATCTGTTTAATCTGGCTCTTTCAAAGGTAAATTCCCTTTTGATCAAAAAATGATATTGATCTGACTGCCTTAGTTGTGTGTTGAGGATTTCTCCTTTTAACTTGAAATGTCGGGGAGTCTTTGTAGCAAATCAATACTGCAGCAGCTTTTTGAGGTTTGTTTCAAAGAGGTCCATTTGGGTGCATTTGCATGGATCACGTCTGGCATCAGATTTCAAATTGACCTTGCAAATATTTACGTTATAACTTAATGAGTATAATAGTCTAAATGCAGCGCTGCCAGGTCACTGACAGCCACCCTGTGACAGGCACGTGATCTCTAGCGAAATAAACCAGGACTAATATTCCTTGAGCTTCAGCGTGTCTGTCCTCACCCCTCACTCTGCGTCCAAGAGGGCCCCCCAACTATCTCTACATCTGTCCATTTTCTTTAATTACACCACAGCATATTGCTTTTTTTGGGCCATATGGAAGGGAGATATTGAGAACAGATAAGATGTATAAACTTCTGTCAACACCATAACATATTAGGCAGAGCTGGAAGCATATTATCTCAATGCTATGGTTCCACTTTGCATCCAGTATAAAAAAAACTTCAGGACAAGGCTGCCGACGGGAAACAGTATTACCTAAATGAGGCTTTCATTAAACTTTTTTAAAAATCCATGACTTTGCCTGAGATTATTTTTTTTTGCCACAAAATTCTGAAAGAGCACATTCATCTGAGGCAGGGGTGTTCAAACTTTTAAAGACAAAGGCCAAAATTATCAACTTAAAAGTGCATTATGTAAGAATGACATCTTGTGGTCAAATTTGGGTACTGCAGCCGATTTTCAAAACACACAGATGACTTTCTCACCGCCGCTCCATGAGTTTTATGGCTGTTAGCGTTTATGACTCAGCGCCAGAATATTACCAACAAAAGAAGAATCATACACAGAAAGTTGATAATCTGTTATATCGAGTTGTTAGTCATTGAAAAATTAGTTTGACATATTTTCAGAGCCAACTCTATGTGCTACTAATTCACTGTTAGCGTTGTTAGCCTAAATCCTTCTTTACCCAATATTAGAGTTAAACAAAAAATGCCCTGACTTTTTATGGTTACAAGAAATTACTTCTGGGTTGCTCCTGTTACTAGCTTAGAATTTTTACAAATCACTGCTGCGGCCAGTGATGAATCACAAAAGAGGGTGCAACTGCATTAGCTGGCACAGACTCAAACCCACGGGCGCACAGATCGTAAACAATCGGGACGATGCTGGCAGAGGAGGTAAGTGCTCGTCTCATGAGCGGAGGGCTGTGTGATCGAGTCCCACTCATTTTGTCACAGACATTGTGTCCTTGGGCAAGACACTTAATCCACCTTGTCTGCTGGTAGTGGTCAGACGGACAAGTGGCGCCCCAGGGCGGCTGTGGCTACGTTGTAGCTCATCACCACCAGTGTGTGAATGTGTGTGTGGATGGGTGAATGACTTATTGTGTTGTAAAGCGTCTTGGGGTGTTGTAGAAACCCAGAAGACGCTAAACAAATGCAGTTTGGACATGTCTGATCTAAGGATTAAAAATAAAATAAACTAAAGTTAAATAGCTAATTTCCATTCAACATCTTTTTAAAAAGCCAGTATGTTCTGCTGGTTAAATCTACATTTCCATGACAAACTACTGAGTTCATGTAATTGCTGGATTATTATCATCCTGCATGGTTCTTGTAGCGGTAATAGCTCCGTCATTTTAACAGAAAAAGGCCAAGATAAATGACAATTATGCTAGACCTGAATAATATGATCTGAAGAATCAGAAGAACCAACAAGGCCTGAGTTTGAAAGCCACAACCACAAAAGCTTTCCCAGAAACACAGTTGTCTTCCTCACTAGAAATGTTTATGTTGTAGCTTTTTCTGATGTGATTGAATTCAGAGTGCCCAGACAGTGAGAGGTCATCCACCGCCTCGCTGCAGCTTCAGGATGAGTAGCAGACGCCGAGACATGGAGAGAATAAAGGAGCAGAGGAGAGCAGCGGGATGAGGCAGTGGAGAGGTCACTTTGAGAATCTGGATGCAAGCACATGGCAAACAGCATCTCTGGATCTCTTTCCCACTCTAATCCTCTCTCTGATCCGCTGAGGCCTGGCCCAGGCATTTGAGGCCCGGGCATAACCCGCGATCGCCGGGCCCTAATCTGAGTCCGCGGTCCGGCCAGAGTCCATCTCAGACGGTACCAGCTGGCTGCCAGCGGAGGAGTGGCAGGCTTAGACTTCTCCAGAGAGACAGCTAGAGGTTGTCTCTACATGGATGGGCACTTCGCAGCTCAGCGGGGGCAGGAGGAAGGGGCAACGCAGCAGCTGCTCGGGGCATATGGGCAGAATTCATTAAGTCTGGCAAAACAAGCCAATTGTGGAGGCGGTGTTTAAAAAAAGTGCAAATGTATATCTGACAGAAGAACGGAGATCATGACTGAAACTGAGAGCAAATATTGTGGCGTATAGAGATATTCTGAGCACAAATATCCCAAGTGATCGCTTCATCCTGAGGTATTACGCTTGATGAAGTTGATTCAAGGCTCACCAACTGAAAAAAAATAAAACAATCTGGATCTATTTGTGATGGGCAGAGATTGAGCGGTTCGATGCGTAGGCTGTGTGTCCTTGAGGACTTTGCTGTGCATCACCAAATACCATGAGACTGATCTGGGCCTGAGAAATAAACCTAATCACAATCTGTAAATGTTACAGCTGTTTCCCTAATAGACCTGGCTGGACGTTGGAGGCCTGCATTTATATTCACACACATGAACCAAAGACAAACCGGAATGCTGATACCGCTGTTGACACTAGGACAAACAATGTAATAATGGTGTATATAATTACAGAAAATTACAGCCAATGTTCCGTTTTAAACATAAATAAAAAAATACTCTTGTTCATTAGGAATTGGCTCTTTACTTTATGAAGTGCGGCAGCTGTCCAGACTTATAATGTATGCTAATCCCCCAGGTGTCAATAGAAACTTTGTTCAGTGCGTTTGAGATAATAGTGAAGAAGGGGTTGCTCCTATCGAAGGACTGCAAGATAAAGTCAATGGCACGGTCAATAACAATAAGGTTGTAGGGTTTAATGAAGAATGTTAATTTGAAGACAATCAACTGGATTTCAGCTTAGCTGATTATCACCCTTGGACTTGTATGTGGACGTTGATAATGTTGCAAGTACAAGGAGGGCATTTTACCTATATGTCATTTGTTCAGAGGGTTAGGGCTAGGTTAAAACACTCAAAGCAACTGAGTGTTCAAAAGACAACATGAAGGTTCTGTACAGAGAGAATTGAGTAAAAATGCATTTATAAAAGTAAAATATTATTTAACTCAATTTTAAATAACCGGAGTCATTGACCCTTTTGTCCCAACTCCGACTCCTTATCCTCTCCTTGATCCCATTCCATCTGGAGCTCTGAGGACACTTCAGTAAACAGATGATCCCAGTCCCAGCTCGCATCATCCTGCAGAGAAAAATAGTCACGGAACAGAGGGAGAAAAGAAGAATTAGGGACGGATATATACCGAGACAGAGAGCAGAGACAAGGAGAATGGGGGGAGAAGAGCAGAGGGTGTTAATGTACACATCATAAATCTTGATTACCTGGGAGACAAGAGTGGCAGCCTCCCCTGGTGCTGTCGAAACAGCTGGGCAGACTTGCACTGGAAGCTCACAAGCTATATATACTAAGAACTTACTCACCTCCCTCACCTCCTGCTCCGGTGCTAAAACCTTGGTGAGGAGCTTCAAGTCAATCTCTCCATCCTGCAGAAAGATTGCAGGGAAATTCCCTTAGCTTGCACAAACTGAGGTGATACTGGTCAGAGAACTGAACAGACCACCTTGAGGAAAAGATGAGAAAGGGGGTACAGATGTATAAAAATAAATGTCCTCGACTTACTAAGGTCTGGAAAGCAGAGAAATGCTTCAAATCACTGTCCAGATCTCTGTAGGTCATCACCCGGTTTACCTGGATGCTAAAAGAGACAAACATCACAAACAGAATGAACACTTTCATATTTACGATCTGCGAAAGTTTGTGCACCAGTGGGTTCTTAGACTTCAAGCAAAGACCACAGAGAGCTGGAGATGGTTGCCAAGAGTTAAACGCCTCAAATTGAAACCCAGCTGCTTATCTGCGGGTTGGAATTAAGTAGGGGGGGTTCTCAAAGTGGCCGGGGCCTAGCAGTGCATGCCAGTCCTACTTACTGCACATTACACGCTACATTGCCCCTGCAATGAGTTCAATGTGGATATTATCTCGCACAGAGTGCAAGCCCCAGCCTAATAACCTCCACCACTGTCATAGCCTTGCTACATAGTCGACACATGTCGGTGTGTCCCTCACTACCCTGTAAATCAAAGAGCCAGCTCGGTGCAGATTCTGGGAATGGAGTCGCATAAATCACATCCAACTGTTATTTCTCCATTTCAGTCACATAAAGGAAGGCACAGTGCAGCGGCGTGATCGGAGGACGGGTAACATCAATGTCACCAGAGCAGGATGCTGATCCCGAGTCCTGTTCGAGGTCAGAGGTTAACTGTCACTCACATGATTGGAGGGACTGAGCGCATATGTAATAAGGACTGATTTGAATGACTTCACTACCTTGGTGGAACAGCCACTTGCATCGTTAGATCTTCTTCCTGGACTTCATCTAGGTCTGGAATCACTGGAATGTCTAAAGCACAAAACAAACACCATCAGCTGAAAAGTATTGAGAAGTACTAAATAACAAGAATAATAAGTATATTCTCTAGCCATACGAGAAAATGTAAATACAGTTCATCTCTTGTGCATGGTTTGTGAAACTGTGACCATATCAGCGTGGCACTTCCTTCCCTCCCTCTTGCTGCTGACATCCTCGTAAGAGCTGCCCTGTCATAGACATGCGGCCATGAATATTCAAGAGGCAAAGCGGCAGCTCATCCTGCTGTGAGAAGGGGCGCTGGCCAGGGGCTCCCCAGAAAGCACCCCCTGCTACCTTAGCATTTGGGCCCTGTCAGCACGGCCCACCCAGAGGACCCACGGTGGCCGGCAGGCCGACCTCTGTGTCTACTCTGCCACTCCAACTGGGGCTGCATCGAGCCGCATGCAAGAGTATTTGCTTGCGGGCCCATCTGTGTAGGGTCGGAAGTCACAGTGTGGCCTGGCAGGAGCCGGCGTGCCAGGAGCCGCCAGCCCGCTGCTCAAACAGTGGGAACCCGCTTTAATTGGCAAAACACAACAGGACAGAGAAGGGCTCTACTCCCAAGGAGGACAGGGCAAACTTTCACAGCATTTTTCAGACTGACACACGAAGGCACCAAAATAAAAGAGATAAAAGGGAAGAAGACTGAGAAAGACATCAATTTTCATTTGAGCTTAAAGACTTGATGGACATTTAACAAAAAGCTAACTTTTCATTATCAGAACTTAACGTAGGGATATAGACAACAGAATCACACTTTAAAGATGTCCTGAGTTTGTTGGAGCGCGTTTCTCTGGACTGAGTCCGCATGTCCTTGTTAGCTGGGCAGCTGTACACTGGCACTGGCAAAAGGAGAGAAAAAAGTGGTTGCAAGACAGAAAATAAGTGATAAATAGAGGAAAAGAGAGCACTGAACTGCATGAAGAAGGCTGCCAGTAATCTCTTACCACAGTTCTGCACCCTGAGGGGAAAGTCAATACAGGAGCTAAATAGAGGTGAGGAGATGGAAGTCTGAATCTGATGTGAGGAAATATATTGGCATCAGTGTCAGTTCCTTCAAAATAAAATGAGCTGTCTGTGGTGGAACAAAGAGAAAACCTTCTGATTCCATATTTTTTTCTCAGAGTTGTCGAACAAATCCAAAGCCCCGCCTTCTGCTGATAATTAATTTCTTTCTTACTTTTTTTTAATCAAACCAAATTAAAAATGCCATGCTCGTTTAGCCACTGACAAGATTCATCTGTGTTTCTGATATCCAAATAAATGCAGGCGCGGGTATTTCATATTCATGAGGCCCGGTGACACTTTGTCCTCTCATTTACAAAGCACAGCGTTCAGCAGAATCCGTCCCCCCTGGACTCCCAATCAAATTTAATGGTCTTAGTGCAATGACATCAAAAAGCTTTGCCGTCCGGCTCTGCAAACAGCTTTCCGGGTTGTCTATCTCTCCACACACACACACACACACACACACACACACGCACACGCACACGCACGCACACACACACACACACTTCCTTTTTCACTTCAACCGCTGATGCACTGTTAACACACTCCATGAGAGTGAAACACGGAGGAATATGGTGTTTATATGCAAACTCTATTATTAAGTGGGAAAAAAACAAAACAAGAGCAGCTTCAAATGGGTTTTAAACTCAGCCTATTACTGGAGGTCAAGTGGGGCAGCTGCAAACAAGCCAGTGTTTTCTACCATCGCAGAGGACAGCTCCATTAGGAGGAGCTGTCTCTCCTCACCGAGTTACTTCCTGCGCTCAGCTGGACGTGCATCAAGGTGGCTTTTGTCTGACGTGTATCTTTACTACACGGCCGCATCCAGCTTCCTCACTGGAGCATGTAAATATCAAAAGCGGATAATTGGCTGTGGATGTAGACCTACTCGTGTTGTGTGCACACCAGTCAGCAACTTTAGAGAACAGGACGTCTTTCTGCTTCACTCTGGCTCCTATGGGGTCTGGCTACATTATTATCTATAGGCAAAACTTCATATGAAAGGGCAATATTCAACAGATCAGCTGGAGAATCAGGTGTGTTTGTGATACTGGTGCTATTTAGAGAGAGCAGCAGGAGGCTGTGGGGGCAGCTGATGGAGCGCTGGGAGCAGGGGACTGGGCAAGCCTCCTCTCTGTGGGTCTCTGAGCTTGTAGCCAGTGGACATAAGGGATAAGGGTAGGGGACATAATCAAGATTGCAGGGGCTATCTCAGTAACCCACAGCACTGTAATTTCCACTGCCCCTGCCTCCAGCTCTGTATTAAGAGGTCTCCCTTCACAGAGTAATAATCTTCCAGCAGCATTAACTGCAAAAGAACCAAACCTTTGTTCCCAACATTTATCTGTCCGTTTGAGCCAAGTGTGTGACGATATGTGTTTAAAATAATCCAACAGCAGTTTATGAACAGGAAATACTTTAGACTTGTTACTAGCAGTAATTTATCGGTGCAACAAGCACATTCATTACTACTTTCTACTACTTGCAAAAAAAAAATTATGCAAATATATAAAATTCCAAGCTTTTAACCACAATTGTGACAAAAATCCCCAACAGGTAATGTTACCAAACTCTAGATTAAAGAGTTCATCCAACATTAGACGCATTAAAGCAGCTTTCTATTAGAATGATGTGTCTGTTTTGTTTAAATATTTGTATTTTGTTTACTTAAAAAAACTAACTAACATTTGTGTCTGGATGTTTGATAGCCTAGTGAACTAGACCAAATTCATGCTTTGCAAAGTTTGGTCTAGGCATGTTCCATTGGAACCTCTGCAGCTCCTACCAGGACTCTGGCTGGCCAATCACAGCTCTCTAGAGGGGTTTCAAACACATAAAGAGCTGTGATTGGTCCATAATGGTGGGCCAATCATAGTGCTCTATCTGCTTAGTGAACAATTCACAGAGCTTTATCCGCTTTGTGGGCCAATCAGGGCACTCTATATGCCTGGTGGGTGGGATGATGCAACAGAGTGAAACAAGAGTATGTCACATTCATTGTCCAGTGGAATGCGGAGATCATTTGAAAGACAACGGTAGAACCCGCCCCACAACCGAGAGCCGTCAATGGAGCGTGGCCAGACTCAATAATACATTTATTTAGTCTGGCTTGCCAGGCTAGATGTTTGTAGGAATATAAATCTAGGTGTAAATATAGATATTACCATGTAGAACCACGAATAGCATATTAAATGGCTGATATGTGTTTTGAATGTTTGGATCTCTTTAAATACAATTTAGAAACAAAACTTGGGAATAGGCTGCCCTATTTTATGAAATAAAATCTTAATTTCATTGGCTAATGAAGTAAACACTAAAGATTAGATACACGTAAGCCTGGATTTTTTTAAACTGAAATAATCAAATTTTATTTTTGCTGTAGCTTTAGTTCAATTAATTTGAACTCTTTAAAATAAAACTGTTTTTACATCTATTCATAAGGACGTTGAAAACAATCTGATTAGATTTATGGCTGCCAACTGTTCTGAGCAGCACTGCAAATATAATAAAATGAATGTGTTTATTTTGGGTCACACACTCAGTGGTCAAAGGCAAGTCTTCCAAACGTGACTTCAGGCTGTAAGCAGGGAGAAATATGGTTTGAGCATCAGAGTAAAGTGATGATCTGACTGCCGGCTTATCTGCTCTACTTTCAGAGGATAAATGTGCAGGAGAGGCACTGGAGGACTCCTCTTTGCCCGTGAGAAGACACAAAGAGCGGGGTACTGCGAGGGTGCTCTTACCTCCTTCATCATCTGATCCCTGGGGAGTTTGTGGTCGCAGGCGATGGCTATAGAAACAGGAAGAGTGTGAATTATTCAACGCTTTCAGAAACCAGCCTGATGATGAGACCGTCGCACGCAGAGAGTGAGCTGGCTCCTGGACTTTTGCTTTGATGATGTACCTGTTATTGTTTATTCTCTGCTGACTGTCACTTCACAACATCTGACAAAGCTGCTGAGACATTCTTAAAACTTAAGATGGAAGCAAAGTTTGAATAAGCTTTGCTGAGTTTCATTTGAAGCCTGCTAGACTAGCTTCTCAGGCATGGAGCTCTAGCTGTGATGATAAAGCATGTAAGATTGTGTGCTCTAAGTCTGTTCTGGGCATAGAATGGTCATAAGTGGAGAGGGGAAATGAGGAAGCAGTCAACTTTAGAGAAAATGTGTTCTTTAAAGATGTTGAACAATCTAAAACCTATCATTTTGAAAAAAAAAATCTAAATTCACAGTATTTTCTTAAAAATAAAGATAAGCACTTTAGTTAAACGCTTCAACTACAACAGTGAAATTAAAGATGGCTGAGATGGTGGAGTAAACTTACTCTTCCTGGTCTTCAGCAGGTGGTCTTCTAAAAGATCTGTAAATCAACAGATTTAAAAAAATCACATAATTAGAAAATATGATTTGTGTTCCTTTCAAATTCAATTCAGTTCAATTCAAAAATACTTTATTAATCCCAGAGGGAAATTGATTGCTGTAGTAGAGCTCAGAATAAAAAATAACTTCAACTCTTTCATTTGCATCTTAATTCTTATCTAATATTAGAAATGCTCATCTCTCTTGTTGTCTCAGTCGTTTTATACTATGTACATTTTTTCCATCTTTCCTGAGCTCTTAAATTACCACTAATAAAAAATTACTGCCCAGCTTACTTGACAGTTGACAAGATCCAGAAATTTACCAGCCTAGAAATCTAGACCAACCGTGGAAATAAGATTTAGCTCTGCAGGTCGGTCTAGCCACACTCCATTGTAGCCTCGGCAGGTCTACCTGCCCAAACAGCTTTGCGTCTGGCCAATCACAGCACTCTACGTTTTTGAGTAGGCTTAACGATAGAGAGAAGCAACAAAGATGGTGTCGGCTCAGGAACGGTGTCGGTACAGGATCGGCTCGGGGTCCTTCGACTGCCGATGACGTCAAAGTAGTTGATTGGCTGAACATGAAGCTTACAGAAGTTACGTTATCACGTTATGATTTTGATTGGTCAGAACAAATTTGTGGTCATAGTCTTAGCAGTTGTAGTCCTGTAGTCCAAAAATCAACACTAATTGGAGAAAATATGTTTGAATTGTAAGCAAATGATAAACGGTGACCCTCAAAAGCTCTTGATGTTGATGAAATGGGGGCAAAATAAAATATAAGAACTTTATTTACTGAAAGACACCAAGGAATATTTTGAGTCAAATAATGCATTTAGATAACAACTAAGGAAATATACAGACGAACTCCACATTAATACAAGCAGATGTGGTTTCACTTATAAGAACTGTTCTATTTTTTGTCAGTCCAATGTTGGTTTTATGCAGTTTCACATTCTTTACAAAACAAAGATAATATGGTGTTTTATTAACAAATTACAATTATAAAGAAAACATTTAGGTGTTAACAAACAAGAATTTATTAACAAAACTGCTGATGTCTTTCCAAAGCGTATGTGTGAAATCCGAGTAGATTTGCAGTAATGTGACGTCATCGGCAGTCGAAGGACCCCGAGCCGATCCTGCACCCGAGCAGATCCTGTACCGACAACGGCACTTCGCTGCCTTTCTGGACACTAAAACAACAACAGCCTTCCCCATCGCAAGTCAAGATGGGAGAGTCCAAGCTTGATGTAGATCTGTCAGGCTTTTCAAATCCTAGCGTTTCACCATCTATTTTCTATCAGAAGCTAATGCAGGAGATAGGCGTAGGAGACTATTTTCATGTTCAGCCTGCATGAAAAACTCAGAGTGACCAATTGTAATCAGAAATAATGTGAATGTTCCACACCTTTAAAGACATACAGTAATGTAGACACATAAATAATATTGAAATTAATCATTTTTAGTTATGATTACTTATTCTAGTCAAGCTGTTCTTTATTAAGTTATTTGAGATATACCTAATCAATATATCAATTATCCCGAAGGTTTTTAAAGTTTGGGTTCAGTATACTAAAAAAGGTGGAACTAGCTCATCACTTTCAGGTTTGCAGTGTTGATTACACCAAAATACACTCAAATTAACAAAACGCACAATGTTTTACTTTTTAAAGATATATAATAATAAGTGTGCAGAAGGGACATGCAAAACTAAATGTTTGCATTTCTGAAGAGTAAAAAAATTGTTTTATTTTTTTTATTTTTCCTTGTTCTTCTTGGCAGACACTGCCCCCTACAGGTTATTTAATTGGAACATCTTTTTTTTTGGTGATTTTATTGTTACTATTTCACACAAAATAACTCACACTGCCAGAATAGAGCCATTGCTTCAGTTTTTCATTCATTGCAACTAGTAAAAGTTTATAAAATATCTAAAAAGTAAAGGACAAAATTATAAGTTTCAAATTTTTTCATGTATCCCAGATTTTTCTGCGTATCGAACCAACAAGTATGACTGAGGTTGAGTTCAACTAGGCAGAGAGGAGCTCAGGAGGCCCACCTGCCTGCCCTTGGACAGTGTCCTGTCTAAGGGGCGGGGGTGGCGACACTTAAGACATATTACAGGTCCCTTGATTAAGACTCATGTAAGGCAAAGCGATAGACATGGTAAAACTGTCTGGAAAAAGTTGTTAGGGATAAAATATATTGTGACAACCTGGATTCAAAGGTTCATCAATAAACTGACAGATCATTTAGTGTCAATTAGAAGTGATAGATCGACAAATCCAGGGATTTCTGCGCTGGGATTAGTGGGAGGAGGGCAGTGGTGATTGAGCATGAGGGGTGACATTGAAAGGAAAAGTCCTTGCCGGTTCCGGGGGGGACCATTACTTACTTTGTTTCAGAAAGGATCAATGCACATGCAAAACCCTTTTACACCTCCTGTATTTGAATCACTTTGAGACGGCGAATCAAGCACGGGTTACACAAAGGCAGAGATGCAACACGCTGACCTTCTGTGTGAAAGGAAAGATCTATTGAAATGGCTGTTTTCCCTGCTTGCACTGATGATGCAGTAAACGACGCAAATAAGCACAACTGGCTCCGCCTGTTCACTTCATCCTCTGCGCTCTGATCTCCGTGGAGACTGATGAAAAGCAGCCCAATGACAGGAGGAGGAATGAACTGTTCAGTCAGTCATGTGCAGTATTACAATTTAGATTTGCTAGTTGCAGATCAAAGCTTCTAGCAAACACCTTCCATCTGTTTCAAATGTTTCATGAATTCTCTGTGCTGTGCAGACTGCTGTGGAAAGGGGTGATGAAGTGGCTTGAACCTCTGTGATGAAGTGGCTAGCTGACTAACAGTGCCCTCCTGTGGCTGATGCATTAACCATGTCAATTACTGCCTTGCTCGCAGATGAAGACGAATGGAGAGTTGCCTCCTCAGACAGGCTTCCTCTAACCTTGTTGATTCACAGCCTGAGTGCCAAATATGCACTGATAAATAAGCTCGTTCAACAGCATGAGAGTTCATTAATAACACATAACACAAGCTCGCAGTCCTTGTTCGATGTTGCCACAGGAGATCCGGGGGGAAAGGTGACGATACTTACTTGGCAGAACCAGACCCAGAGCTCTCCTCTGCCCAGCCACCCCGTCGCCGGTTTGGTTTAGAAGAGCCACCCTGGAATCAGAAGGAACCTCAATAGCAAACTGCTTCACTGGATGTCAATGCACTCTAGCAAAAGAACACTAAATCCTTTCTGGAAAGTATTTTAATAGGTACTAAGCTTCTATATAAAATAATAAGACTGGCCTAGCTAGCCAGCACCATTATTAAATATCTGTGTCATGGCAAAAAATGTCTTCAGTGATGCTGAATAGATTTGTTTATAATACTTAAAATAATCCATAAAAGAGACAAACAATTACGTGTTTATATGTGTTAATGCATCAGGAGAGGACCCTCTTGCCTAAAGAAGATAAAGACCTCAATAAAATGCCAAATTTGCATTAAAGTTGCAATCCGGACTTTTCCCCCTTTCAGTAATTATTTGTATTTTTTAAATCCGTAACAGTGATCGTCTTCCCTTGTTTTGTGATGTAACGTAGGCAATACAGCATTTTCTTTTTGTGCTAAGCCTGTTCCATAGAGCCCCATGCAATCTGAATTTAGCGCTGCTCTGCATTGGCCAATAGCGTTTACATACAGATGTAAATCACAGGGCAGGTAACTATGATGCAGAGTTGGCGACATTTCTTATGAACAAGTAAGTGCAACAGTTTTAAGCAGGTGTGGAAAAATAATGTAAACAAAGAATGCTTTCAACAGTGGAAATATTAATCATTTATTTCATCAATCAACAAAAAGCTGTGAACAAAAAAATAAATAAACCTAAATCAAATCAATATTTGGTGTGATCACCCTTTGCCTTCAAAACAGCATCAGTTCCTCTAGCTACACTTGCACACAGTTGTATAGGGAGCTGGGGCCTCATTTATCAAGCTTGCTTACGCACAAAATGGGGTCGGAAAACTGCGTGAGCAACTTTCCACGCCAACTTTGGGATTTATGAAAGAAAACTTAGCGGAAAAATGTGCGTAACTTTAAGTTGACTAAGGACCTGGCTTACGCACATGTTGGACATGGAGAGCACCTGCAGAGCTGCTGCTGAGAAGGATTCAGTTATGAAATCCTGCAGCATTATCACTTGTACTGCTTCGTTTTCACACAGAACAAGACCCCCCACACGCACACACATGCGCGCATACACACACATGCGCGCACACTCATGCACACGCGTGCGCACGCACACACACACACGCACAGCAGAATACGGAATGCAGAATATCAGCAGAGGGACAGATTGAGACAGAATGTCATGCGTCTGTGACAGTGTGTGTCCTGTCACTGTGACCAGATTGATGTTGGATGAGGGAGATCTCCGTTTAGCTGCGCACGTGACTTTCACCTGGGAGTTTGGGGATCGAATCCTGATTGGACTTTTTTTTTTAATATCCGCCACAGATCTCTGAAGAATTCACAACATTGACGGCTTCAGCAACGCTGTGCCACTCCGTGGATTTCCATTATTTGTTTTGCAAAAGCACTTCCTTTCATTTCTCCACCTCACCCACAAGTACCTCAATTTCTGCTTCTGTGGAATTGCGCTTCCTTGATCTGCCTTGATCTATGGTTGCCATGTCATTGGCGGAGCGCTGCAACAGCTGGCTTATGTATATGCATGAGATCCACAAGGCACTTTGCATTGACTATTTATGGCAGAAAGTGGGCGTGGTGAGGGCGGGATGAGACTAAAATGCAGCTGAGAAACATTTTCGTTAGTCTCCGATTTATGAAGCGGAGATTGCGTGCAGCTGTGCGTACTCCATGTTTGATAGATCACAAACCTACGTGGCGTAAGTACATTTTTTTGCTGTGCTTAAGTACGGTTTTATTAAGGTTTCTACTCAATGTTTAATAAATGAGACCCCTGGGCTGGTTGGTTGTTCCTGACACCTTTGAGACCCAGCCACAAATCTTCTGTGGCTTCCTCACATCCTTCTGTCTCTTCATGTAATCCCAAACACACTCATTGTTGTTGAGATCAGTGCTCTGTGTGTGTGTGTGTGTGTGTGTGGGGGGGGGGGGGGGGGTGGGGCAGACCATCACTTCCAGGAATTCTTGTTCTTCTTTACACTTTAGATAGTTCTCAATGTGTTTTAGATCTGTTGCCTGGCTTGAGGTGCACGTTCACAAATGAGAGGCGTTGCTTCCAGCTGTCATCATGGAAGGAAGAGGTATAGTAAGGTGCAATACACATTGTCTGCCTCTAGATGGTGCCCTCTGAGGAAAACTCTGGATCCATCCATCCATTTTCTTCCACTTATCCGGAGTCGGGTCACGGGTGCAGCAGCCTAAGTCGAGAGGCCCAGACTTCCCTCTCCCCAGCCACTTTGGCCAGCTCTTCTAGGGGAATCCCAAAACGCTGAATTTCTACTTTAATGCGGTGAAGGTACGCTAATTATTTACCATTTGAGCTGATGTTACGCTTAAAGTCCATTCTTTGATACAACACAAATAAAAGCAACAAAGACAAACCTGTATGCAACTATAAAGTCATCTCTGTGGCATGGTGGTATGTGGAGCAGAGTGTGAGAACTGAGTTTGAACCCAAAATAGTTGTTAGGTGACAGGGGTCCATGCGTGGGTGAGTGGGGTGGGGTGGGGGTCCATGTGCTTGTCATTTTCTTTACTGTGAAAATAATAAACTATGTATCTCGATCCTGAGACTTGGACCAACTGAGACCAACACTTGAATGAATGAATTCCTTTAAAGCACTTAAGGGTGACCCATTGACATATATAAGGGTGAACACTGGTCATTGAATGGGGTGGGGTGTGTATGTGTGTGTGTGTGGGGGGTGGGGGGGTGGGGGTGGGGGGGTCTGCAGAGGACAAAGTGCTTGTGACGAATTTCCTTTCCTTGTATAATTAGTAACCATCTGTTTAAACAAAAACATATGATTAAAGTGACAACTGAGACTTTCAAGACAACGCTGCAGAATGCTTTTGGTGGATGTGGAAACTCGTCTGTTTGATACTTTGTGTTTAGGACAACAAATAGTTTTCATGAGAGACAAGATAATAAGGTCAAGTGTCCTTGAGAGGACAACAGTCATTTTTTTTGGCATTCTTTGACCATAAGTGTCCTGAGAAACAAAACAATCATCTGCCTGCAAATTCTTTATGACCAAATATGAACCTTACAGTTGTCATAAAATAGTTAGAGCTGTTAGGACAATTAGCTTAGCCTTCATGGTTCTTAATTTAGGATTCTGCGATGGTCTCTGGGGCAAGGAAATTGTGGTGGTCAAACATTATGAGCCCATAAAAGCATCTGGGTCTTTGCTTTGAGTGATGTCAAGAATGTGACCAAATCAGTTGGGTATTTAAGGCAGAAGAGGGCAAGGTTGATAAACAAAGACTGCAGAGGGAGGAGGAAAAAAGGACCAAAATGCACGACACTCGGGAAAAATGTATTGCATGTGCAGGGCACGGTCAGGGAGAGCGTGAGAATATTGGTTCATACATTATGGAAGTTGGCCTAATTTGGGAAGATTAGCTTAAAGCATTGCTGGAATTTTTGACTTTGGGAATGATGATGGGTTTGCCAGAGCAGGAGATGTGACTCGTTCCCGAAATGCCAGCGATACTAGCGTGAGCCTAGTTAATAAATGTTGCCTCTGATGAGATTTTTCACATATTTTACCCAACAAGTCCAATGTACAGTTACATTGACTGCCATATTTTCTTTTTTACTGCAACAATATTGGTCTTTTCTATGATGTAATATACTTTCATATGACTGTTGTCATGGTACCGGGCATCTTTTAAAGGCCAACGCCCTACACAAACACCTGCTGCTAATTGAGCAAATACCCTCTTCATTTCAGGGTAAAGACTCATTCAAAAACACCACCAACCAATCGTTACAGAGCAATGAATAGAAAATCTGTGAATCAGACCACAGGAAAATGAAACCAACACCTTAAAGAACATCTTATCCCCTGCAACAACCTCTTAAGACAAGTTATTGCTATTCTGCTGTTGTTATTTGTCAATTAGTAAAGTAATTCATATAAAATGTATTTGCATTTAAGATATGTTTCAATGATAAGACTCATGGAAAGGATTCACGTATGTTTTCATACTCTGAAGAAGCTGTAAAGTTTGAAAAAAGTGACACTTCAAACACTGACCAACACACACAAGTTTAAAACCTGTTGAAGTTTAAAGAGTGAAATATCTCATCCACTGCATCAAGTCAGTTTCAGCTGTGTGTTGGTAATTGAGAGAAATGTTCAAACACCATATTAATAGGGTAGAAAGTATGCACAATAGAAGTCATGCAAAGTCAAGCTACCCACCTCATCATCATCATCAACATCCTGTCATTTGTGTATGAGATAAAATAAAAATCTGTATTTATGATACTTTAAGGTAAAATAAAATATGTAGACAACCATTTGTTACATGAAATTACATACTTCTAAAGAGGAAGAGGACTTCCGAGCATGGCGAGACTCTTCGGATGACGACTGGTCTGCTGCAAGACGAGCTCTTCGTCCAGACTTGGCAATCTGAGAAATGTGAGGGATTTTTGAAAATTAATTTTCTTTGTTGAAAAGCATCTTGCTGAATACATTTATATGCAGAATATCTGCTTTAAATGCTAAAATACTTTGATTCCATAAATATAGATCCATCCGTTTTAACATTTCTCATTTTAAATAGTTTTCATTATTATTTGATGTTCAAATAGCTTACTCAGTTTACTAATAGGAGACGTGAATATGTAGATTTTCAAAATAAAAGACAGAAAGGTGGTTCACAATTTTTTACTTCTTTCTTACAGCACTGGTAGTTACTCAGTTCTTACTCTCTACGAGAGACCAACCGCCTTCGTAATTCTGAAATGCACCTTCTTTTGTCTGAGAAAGACGCAAAGTAGGAGAAAAAAAAAGAGAAAACCAAAACAAAAGCTCTGCCTACAAGAAACTCAGTAGCACGCTAGCACGGCTAACCACAAAGCTAGCGTTAGCTTGACACTGGCAAACAAATAATCACTAATCTTGCTCACAACCGGTAAAACCATAACATATGTTTGACGGTGGTTTATTTGTTAAACATTTAGCTTATCAAATGGCAAGGCACGTATTTGGTTTACGGTGTTAGCTAAAAAGCTGACGCTAGCCTCGGTGAAACATTACACAACGGCTCGAGCTTCTCTAACAGCACTAAATACTAATTATGTTATCACTAATAAATATCTTAACTGAAACAAGACGTACATGTTTTGTAACTGTCCCATCTTCGGCGTGAAAGCTATCGTCTATCTCTCTCCTCATTGCTACAGCTCTGTTGTAGCTTCTTCCTGAGTCACAACCGTTACATAGCAACGTTCACCATAGCAACGCCAATCAGCAGGAGCGAACGTGTCTTGCGTAATTAAATTTAATAAAATCTCAATAAAACAGGTTCGATTTATTTATAACACAAAGATTTAATGTCTAATTAAATAGTAATACCATTGTTGATGAATTGATATTAATGGTTACATTTATATTTTTATGTAATAAAATAAAAGACAAACTCTAGTCCAATAGGTATCAGCGAAAATTTATGTCCAACATTTAAACATCGCTCGCTTAAATGTCCCGTTAATTAAATGTGTTTTTATTTAGAACCAGAATTAAATGTGTTGTTACTCTTTCTATCCACCAGATGTCAGTGTTGCGCATGTTTTCATTTGCTGACACCGCTCGGTAGCAGCCATCATGCGGTTGTTCAGAGCAGCTGAATGTTTCCTCAAAATACCTCCTTTTAATTTCATTCCACCATCTGTGATTTGCATATAATTTACGTCCATGATTTCATCAGAAACTCTGATAAAGCAGAAAAATTGTGCAGCCTACTTAATAGCCATTTTGTGCCTACAATAAAACATCTAATTGATTAATTAGCCCCAGAAAGCTTACTTTTCTGTTTAGTTCATTATTTTTGTTTAAAAATAGATACTACATAACCATTAAACAAAAATACACTCACGCATGGGATGGGGTTTGATTGCGGAAACCATAATTTAACTCAAAAACAGACTTGAAAGAAGTATTTAGAAACACATGTTATGATAGGAGCTATAGTTCATTGTTTGAACAAGGTTTAGAAATTGCTGCCCCTCCTTCAGAAACGTCACAGCCAGCAGGATATAAAGTATGAGTGAGAGTGCAGAGCCTGAGTGTGTTTGAGGTTGGACTACGGGGAGATAACAGAGGCGCTGGCTCCACTAACACCAGTGGATGAAAAGAGCTGAGTGGAATGGAGGGACTGAACCAAGGCGCACAGACCGGCCCCGTTTGAAATATATCACAAGGGAAGAGATGCTTGAATGAGACCAGGGGTGATGCGGAGGGTAATTAGGAGTTTTGATGAAGAGTTATGGTTATTTTCCAAAATGGCACGGATTTGCGCTCATCCAGATGCGCACTTTGCAAAGATGACATAGCACTTGAGAAAATGGGATTCCTCCAGGAACAGAACTCACTCACGAGCTGAATGACATTATAAAAGGGATTCAAATCGGATTTTTGTTTTTCGCTTAATTATTATTTTTATTTTACTTGATACGCGTCGGTTGTGTGTGAACTCAGAGTGAAATATGAATCTGGGCAAAGCACTTCTGTTTTTTCTCCTCTCGAGTTGTGTGACAATGACTTTCTCGCTCTCCACTTGCACCACTGTGGACATCGACCACATAAAGAAAAAGAGAGTGGAGGCGGTCCGGGGACAGATTCTGAGTAAACTCCGGATGACCAGTCCGCCTCAGGCAACAGGTCCGAGCCAGGTCCCGTTTCAGGTTCTGGCCCTCTACAACAGCACCAAGGAGCTCATTGAGGAGCTGGGAAGAGACCGGCAGCAGAGTTGCGGACAGGAAAACACTGAGACCGAGTACTACGCCAAAGAGATTTACAAGTTCAACATGATCAATGGTCTACCAGAAAACAGTGAGTTTCGCCTTCTTTCACCGATAAGTGTCCCACTTTTTATTATGAGGGTTTGGCCAACATTTTCTAAAACAAATAACACTTTGTTTTAAAATCACCTTTTTATTTATCATGCACTTCTAAGAAAAACCGTTTAAGGTGCGCGCAAGAGTCCGTGCGGCTTTTACGCACAGACGCGCCAGTGATCAGTGGAGCGTTGCGCACCGGAGAGCGCAAAGTAAACAGTCTAATTGGAATGAGCACCATTCCACATACATACCTCACACCAAAGCCATGGGAACTCCAGCTTATGTCTGACACATTCCTGAACGAGGAAAATTCTCAGGCTGTTAAATTGACTATTTGTTGCCAACCCTAATACCTCATTTCCATTTTCTGGCCCCAATATTTGTAACTCACCTCCGGTTCCCCTCCTCCCCTATTTCTTTTGAGTTATGCCTTATTATGATCTAATTCCCTCGTCCATCCATATTGGTATTTCCCGTATAAACTATGACCCATTGATTGTTCCATAAATCAGTAGCAGGAGCTCAGTGAGTGGCAAACTCTCCAGAGAGGTCTGTTTCAAAGTGGAGGTTTGGATTTGTGTCAATTCCCGGTCATAGGTCGGCGGGTGTGTGTGGAGTTACCCTTCTGGAAATCAACAGGTGTTTATGCCGTGCTGTGACACTGAACAGAACTGCATGAGTTCTGAGTCAAATCCATTTCACGGGTCCAACAAAGTGCTCCTGACATTCAAAAATACACAGCTGGGGAGTTTATTTGCTGGTCAGAGGTAGCCAGAGTTCCCAACACAAACAAAGGTCTAAGGAATGTGATCAGGGATGGCCATGTGCCCAAGATGCATCATGAGGGTCAAAGGTGATAAAAGAAGACATGATTTAAACTTTTAATTTATAGTCCAGGGAAGATATTACTCATCTCGCCAGGAGATGCCAAAAACGCATTCATTAGAACTTATTCTCCCTTCCTGTTATGTAATTTTAAGGAAAACTGGGCATGTTGCAAAGCATATTGTGTGTCACCTTGATAATTTTGCAGTGTAGCTCATTTTCTAGCTGGATATAATGAGTTTTACATGCGCTGCTTTTGGACGGTGGGAGTGTTTGGGAATGTGATCAAGTTTTTTCCTCTCTTCAAGCACAGTTAAGAAGTTAAACAGAAACTTTGCTCATACTTTAATGCACCACTTGCTCCAGACTACTCTGCTAGACACTATAATGGAAATCAAGGCAGATGCCATCTCCGAGTGCTTAGATGAGGCAGAATTCAGACATGGTCGCAGCTGTCACAAGTACAGTGTGAGCAAAATGTGGCACGGCTCTTTATCTCGCAAACTGCATCATGCAGCTTCAGTGAAATTTCAAGCCAATCACTGACTCAGTGATGGGTCGGTAAAAAATGAGAGCTCTAGCGCTGAGGACAGCAGGGTGTCTGATAGATTGGATAGTAGAAAGATGATGTCATCTGAACAAACAGAGACAGAGGTCTTTGGCCTGCTCCCAGGGAAACAGCATCTCTCCAACCAAACTCCCACACACTCACAATTTCTGCTTCCTCATGTTTAATCAAGAGGAGGGAATAAGTTGTTTTTCTGTAAAACGGCAGTCCATCACCATTCTCACATCTGCATCAGCCAGCCTCTGATTAATGAAAACTCATTTCATGATGCAAAGTTTGATTGCTTCTTTTATTAAAACCTTCAGTTTATTTGTAAGTGAAAAAAAAAGTCAGACTTTTCCAAAAGAAGGTGATGCAAACCAATACAAATTCCAGATGCTGGATCACAAAGCTCAAGTAATACATTTCCAAAGCAATTGCTGCTATGCTTTATGAGATTTAGACACTACAGCAGCTGGCTAGCACCTGCCGACTTATGCTTCCTATTTCCTTTGTTTACCTCCTAAAAGCTCTGGAGAGACTGACATCACTGAGGATCCTTCAAGCAAAAGGGCAAAGAAAGGTGATTCCAGGGAGCGGATATCAGGGAACCGCTGCTTAATGAGCATTCTTTAGGCTGATAGCGTCAGGGCGTGGCACTCAGCAGATTTAATCAAATACCTCCTCACGGGAAACTCACATCTTCATTTCCAGATGTAATTAAGTGATAACATTACAAATGAATAAACCCACATTCATTTTCATGTTCAGACTTGATATGGTTGAAAATATGATCTAGTTTAAAAAAGCATCACTTGTTTACTTACACAATTTGGCTTTTATTGGTGAAAGTGGGTTTAGCTGTACAAATTAGACCCAAAACAAGTTTATCAACACAAATCTGCTTTCAGATTAGGCTTGTGTCCGCATCCTTGAGCCCATTCTGATAAGTTAGATCCTAAAAGGAGGGTGGTGGTCATTTATTTTTTTGTGAATATTAACCATAAATGCAACTCCCTCCCCTCACCAACATGGAACAAATTACCTTTCAGACCCCTGGCAGCAAAAAAAAAATCTTAATGTGAAATCCTAAAACCACTGCAATGGCAAAAATGAGGTCATCCAAAAGGAAACTGAAGACTTGATTAGAATTTCAAATCTCCCCTCGAAGTGGGGCTTTCCACCTTCTGTGGGGGAGGTAGGGAACGGAGGAAAGGGGGAGACGGAGCAGTAATTGAGGGGAGGAAAATGCTACTGAGGTTTCCTCCTTATAGATTTGGTGGAAACACTGGACAGAAATCTGGCTGGGGAGGAACACCAAAAAGGTCACCTATAAATAGGGAAAGCAAAAAAAAAAAAAAAAAAAAAGAAGAAAAAAAAAGGGGGGGGGGTGGAAACAACAGACAACGATGGGGAGGACACTGAAATAGAATTATGGGTCAAATGAAATACAGATACTTGGAGATGTGCGAGTTCCTTTAGCATGAGACAAGCTTCTGCGTTTCCATTTGTCTCCAAACAGTTCGAGGTGCAAATCAGCTAAAGGTGGATTGCGCCTTTCAACCACCAGCAAACCTGAGGGTTGGTAATAAAGCTTAAGCTTGAGGTAATAAATTAGCCAAGGCTTGGCTGTAAATGACTGTTTCCACTTAGCTCATAAAAAGTTTGCTACGTGCTTGTTTTGCTCTACACTGCATGTGCTTTGCCTGTTAAAATAATAAACTCCTCCGTCGTGGTATAATGGAATATGTAATAAAATGGAGGAGGCCTCAGTGTAACAGGAAGCTTTTTAGATAGAGGCATTAAAATACAATTTTATGCCATACCATGGTTTATGTACACATGAGCATGAAGGTCCACAACTGGTTACTTCTCACTAACATCACTCAAGTATTGTTTTGCAGCTTGTGAGCTCTCGTGTTCCTTGTTAAACCTCTGTGTTCAAACAAACACTTGGCTTCTGTCTGGGCTTCAGCGCACCTGTTGAGCTAAAGTGCCAGTTGAAGGAGAAGGAGGAGGAGGAAGTGGAGGTGCATACTGCACAGCGCTGTCCCACTGTAGCCTCCCCACCAGCACACGGGCCATTTGGTTCTCATTTTATGACTTCAACTTGTTGCTAAATCATATGAAAGCACAAGCAGATGGTTTGTGATAATGGCTCAACAGAGTGAACTAGTTAAAAAGATGGGAAGCTCATTTATTTTCTGCAAAGGATTTAAACTTACCGACGAGGGCTTCAATAATGTGCTCATGATGGAATAACAGATGGATAACAGCTTTAAGAACTGCTGTAAAGATGTCTGATGAGTTGTTCTCTTTACGCTTACAGATGACCTGCCTTACTGCCCCAAGGGTACAACCTCTAAGGTATTCCGCTTCAACGTGTCGATCCTGGAGAAGAATGCCACCAACCTGTTCCGGGCCGAGTTCCGAGCCCTGAGGATTCCCAACCCGAGTGCCAAGAGAAACGAGCAGAGGATTGAGCTGTACCAGGTGTGTGAGCTGGTCGTTGGTTTCCACTGTTAGCGGAGTTTCTCTCCGTCTAGTTCAGACCACTGAGGAGGATTAAAACATTTAGATTAGGGTTTCCAACTGCCTCTCCTCTTTTCGTGTGCTGATCATTATTCCGCGTGTTTAAGTCAGATAGATTCTACATCACGACTGATCTAAAGGCAGCTGTCCATTCTCGTAATTTGCATCTGCATTTGCATGTTTATGATGATTCTGTGAACTGAGTTGAAACATCTGGTCAATGTGTGTGAAGGGTGGCAAAAACATTTTTTTCTGTTTCCTCATTAATCTCCCATGAGAAGCTCGGTGTAATGATCAGGTTCCAACATTTCCTGCCATGGAGACAAGCGGACTACATGCCGTCCCCGAGGCAAAGCTCTGGCCAGTGCTGTCAGTCCCTCCAGATTGTTTCCAGGGGCCTGGGAGGAGATAGGGGCAGGGTCACTCACCGGTGGGAGTAAATGGAGCCGTTCACTCGCCCCCACACTTTTCAGCCTCGATCTGATTGGCAGACGGCTGATGCTGGCTGAACCGCGGCCCCTCATTCCCACAGGAAGGCAGATTAGATGCTGACAATGTTCGGGAACCTGGTTATCCACAGCCCTCGCTGTGGGGTCAAGCGCTTCATATTTACCACCCAAACACATTTCTCACTACAGATAAACACCTTTGTCCACTGAGCTGCTGGTGCAGACATGGATGCTCAAAACCAATTTCTGAATTTTCCCCCCGTTGTTGGTTTAGGTCATTTTCGGAGTGATAATTACTTCTGAACTGCGTGACACTGAATCTGAGAGGTTTTAAGTTAAATTTTGAATGGCTGATGTGAAGAACGGCCAGTTTCTCATTGGCAGGAGGGTAACACACAGGCATTAACTTGCAAAATGGGGATATCAACACAGGGAGTCACTTTTTCCATGAAGAGTAGACATTTGGCCCAAGGCATCCTGGAGAGTCTGGCTCCGAGAGACAGCTTTGGTTTTGTGTGTGTGTGTGTGTGTGTGTGTGTGTGTGTGTGTGTGTGTGTGTGTGTGTGTAGAAATAAAGTTTTTGCAGCTGGGTCACATTATCATTTCTTTTCTTCAAAGATCCTCCAGAAAGACGACCCCAAAGCCAAGCAGCGTTACATTGGGGGCAAGAACGTGCTGACCAAGGGGACTCCTGAGTGGGTCTCCTTTGACGTGACAGAGACGGTGAGGGAGTGGCTGATGTACCGACGTGAGTGGGAAGCTTCAAATCTCATTTCCTCACACAGTAATACATTCCCTTAAAAATCATGAAGAAATGAAGGGTAAGGACTTGTCTGTTCTTGTTCTGTCCCCAGAGACCAACCTTGGCCTGGAGATCAGCGTGCACTGTCCCTGCCACACTTTCAGGCCTAATGGAGACATCATAGAGAACACCAATGAGGTGCTGGAAGTGAAGTTCAAAGGTAAGATGACGTCAGACTTCAACCAGACATTTAAAGTCTTATTACATTTTAGTGGTCCTATTTCACAGGTTAGGATGAATTTCCAAAGGATTTCTATCGAGGTCTCATTAGTGTTTAAACCCATCAATGTTCACTTTATTATAATTTTATAGTCTTACATCCATTTATTTATTATCTGGTAATAATCAAGTAGTTAGATCAACAAAAAACATGCTTCTGTAGGTTTGCTCAAACAAATCAAGAAATAAAAAATCACGATAAAACTCTATTTTCGAAGCCTTTCAGCTGCTGATTGTACTTCCTGTATGACAGGTCGTATAAAAGGATGATTTTCATCCCTTTACCTGTGTCGGGTATTTGCTAGAATGTTTTTTTCGCCTCCACAGTTACACATTTCTCTATATATTTTAGAAACAGTGCGCTCTCTTGTTCATGAACAAAAGTTTGCTTGAAAATTACAAAAACAGAACCAAATGTCTGAAGAAAAGAGCTTTAAAATGGTTATTTACGAACATTTCAAGAAAATATGGAATCAAAATGGAATACAACAGGGCAAAGTTTCAACTTTGACACAGCATTGTGTATATAAATTTAAATGTACAAATTTATTTTCTAAGTTTAAACTTTCTGATGCAAAATAAAAAGTTGACAGGATTTACTTTGACAAAAGCATCGTCCTGACTGCAGCCCTGCAGAAGAGAGACGTGCTGAAAGAAGCAAAATGAGTTACAGCCTGCTGGCCCTATAAAGTGATGTGGAGAATCACCGTCACTTCACACAAGAACCTCCAGGAAGTTTGGGAATAGCATCTTGGGTGATTTTCGACTTCACGCTTTTCAGTGTTGCAAACATAAAAAAAGATGCATTACGGACAGGCTTGTTTTCAGGTTTCCAACATTTTTTTTTGCCGTTTTCACGGCCAGACTACGGTCGCCAAGTTGGCCCTGGTCAGGATTTCTGTGCGTTTGATCTCTCAGTCGTAGAGTAAAGACGTGCTTGCACTACTTCCTATTTGTGATCAAAAGTCAGATAATTACATTTGTTTTATATGTGCTTGATCTGTAAAAATATATGTAAGATAAGATTTTGTTAATTTTCTTTTGGATTGTTTAATCCTTTCTGCCTTTAAAGTTTGGATTGTTTGAATATTTTTGACTTTTGAAAAAAAAAATCAGGTCGAATGAGAGCTCGACTCCTAAAAAGTGACTTTGGGTCCAGCCATCATGTTCAAGCACATATGCTCACTGATGTGTTTGTTCCATAAAATAAAGACACTCGGAGTATGGGAATACAGTGGACCTGGAGTCTCACTTAACACTGGGGGCCCCCGGGCCCTTGGTCCTGGGAACACTCCTGACTGGCCTGGCCACAAGGAATGTGCTGCGATGGGGCTCAGACGTTTGGCCCCAAATTAAAGGGGGCTGTACACATCTACCAGCATCTCTCCTGAGATATCAACTGCTTTAGCTATCAGGGATAGATTGGACAAGCAGACACAGGCCTGATGGTGAGAAGAAAGTAAGAGGGGAAGCTAAATGGAGCAGGCTTAAATATGGAAAAGGAAAAAGAGTGAGTTGGGAATGACTGGAGCTTTTGAATCAAAGCCATTTTTAAAAATGTCATAACTTCCTCCGGCAGGTATGGAAGGAGACTTTGAGGAGCTGAGCCGTGTGAAGAAACAGAAAGAGCAGCTGTACCCTCACCTCATCCTCATGATGCTTCCTCCCCACAGGCTGGATGCCCACTCCTCCTCCCGCAGGCGCAAGCGGGCACTTGACACCAATTACTGCTTCAAGTAAGAGCCATTTCCTCCCGCTGGCAAACACCGCTTGCAGTTTTTCACCGGTTTAAACTTTGCTAAATAATCTGTCATGCTGACGACTGAAGCAGCTCTCAAGGGCTGGCCATTAAAAGGCCTTCCAAATAGGAGGGCAGCTTTGTAGAGTGGTCAAAGTGGCATACAAAAATCAACTGTCACATCTGAAAATCACCACACTAAAGAAGCACACACAAGTACACGACCCAAAGACTTAGGTTGCTAATCACCCAGACAAGCATGAGGAGGTATTAGCAGATGCAAGTTCGGATCTGCCCTGGTACTAGCAACACCACCTCCTCTTACACGCAGCCTCCTCAGCTTTCAATTTCCTCCATCAGGCTGACAGGCCAGTACCAAAGACACCTGGGCTGACTCCAGGAGGGAAAATAAGGGCACACCCAAGAGTGGAATTTCTAAACTTCTCTCTCCAGTCTGACTGAGGCCACGTGGAGGACATCTATACAACTTATCTGAAAATTAATCCGATCTGTTCTTCCTTGTCTGCAGCAATTATGAGGAGAACTGCTGCGTGAGACCACTATATATTAATTTCCGTCAGGATTTGGGCTGGCGGTGGATCCATCAGCCCGAAGGGTACTACGCCAACTTCTGCTCTGGTCCGTGTCCTTACCTTCGGAGCGCTGACACCACCCACAGCTCGGTGAGACAAAGGAGGCTCTAAAACCCTGAATCTGTTAGAAAATCTTGTTCCATACTCTCATTTGTTTTCTCTACTTCTCAACACAGCTGCTGAGCCTCTACAACACCTTAAACCCTGAAGCCTCCGCCTCTCCCTGCTGTGTTCCTCAGGACTTGGAGCCCCTCACCATCCTCTACTACGTGGGACGCTCTCCTAAAGTCGAGCAGCTCTCAAATATGGTCGTCAAGTCCTGCAAGTGCAGCTAAACATCAGGGACACGGAGACACACGGATGAGAAAACTTGTTAGGAGGAGGGTGGAATTTAAGATGAGCAGGATGCAGTTCGTCCTGGATGAGTTCCCCTACCACCACTCCGCTCACAATTACTGACTTTTAACAAGACCGGACAAACACCACTTCATCAACATTGAGATCAGTATTACTTACACTTTTAAAAAAATGTCACAACATCTTGAAACGTTCACTAAACGGAGAACAGATCTTGAAGCGCTCTCGTGGATGTAAAACAACCAAGAAGAGGCTGAGGAGGCCGACTTAACTCAGCATGTTTGCAGAGAGAAAACTGATCTCTTGGCCTAAAAACACGGGACACATTTCGATGTCCGAGCTGGAAGCTGACGCTGTGGACGCCGCTGCTCCCTACACTGTTTATTTAGGATTTAATGCTGTCGAATAAAAATGACATTAGGAATTTAAAAAAAGATATGCTGGAACCCAATCTTTTTTCTACGTAGTACGTTAAAGGTTATGTTTACCTCTGTAATGCTACAGCATGGTGATTCCAGGGATTGAAGCCTTTCTGTTGTATGAGTTGATGTATGGCACTAAGTGAACCCAACTAGATCACAAACTGTAAATGTTTTATTACTCTTAAAAACACTTTTTTTAATAAAAATAAAAAATGGACAGTTGGATAGATATGTTTAATTGTTCATTAACAAATACAACCATAACGACTTGATTACTTTCTAGATGAGCTCAGTGCCGTTGCTACAAACTGCTCAATGGTCCCAAATACAACACATTTTCATGCATGTATACTGTAAACAATCACATGGAAAACCTATGACAGCACAACACCAAGTCTTGAGCCAGCATGCTCTGATATACACCCACAGCATGAACACTCATCACCTTATTACCAAACACACCAACTGTGGTTTGTCGTATTCTGCGCTGAAAACTGTCCTCTGTGCAAAATCTCCCCGGTGATCACCACCATTTGAGAAAATCGTGCAAATAAAAGATGAAAAAATTCAAGTATTTCAGACAAAAGTCATCATCAACAAACTAGCTGACATTCAGCAGGTGTTTTGCCTCAAACACACCCTGAGTTAACTCCATATGGTCCAAAGTAACAGATTATCCGTAAGATGATTGACCTGCTGGTGCAGCCTTAGACTTTGTCTATGCATCACCAAAAGGCTTCTTTATTTTCTGCTTTGAGCTACAAAATTGCAACAATCCTTCGTTTAGTTTTATCCAAGGAAAAAAGATATCAAGATCTTTACAATCTTCAGCACCAGAACGTCTCATTAACAGGTAACAAGCACTCCTACTGGAGCGCTCATCTTCAAGTATACAAGCAAAAATGACACACATTCACTCATCTTAGGCAAAGGGCAGACTTGGCATCTGTGTGGCTTCCAGCACGGAAATCTGAGTCTGATGGTGGAAGCCACACATGAAAATATCTTTTATGCTCCCTGACCACCACAGTAAGCTGAAAAACTATTTATACGCTCCAAACAATCTGTGTCAAACTCATCCCAAGTCTCTTGTTAGCCCCAACTCACCTGTTTTGTTTAAACTCAGGGGTTGGTGGAGTTGTAGTTACCTGGATGGGGGGGGTTCACACACCTTTAAACTCTATGGCTCAGGTCTTGAGGAGCCATCTGCTGCAAGATATCTGTCAATGAAGTCTTCCTGTGGCATCAGTAGCATGGAGGGAATGAGAGGAGGCAGCTGTTCGGATGTAGACTGATTGTAGCCGAGGGCGATGAAGGGGTGGTGGGGGTGGGGGGGTGTTGGAGCAGCGCAACTATATCCCAGCCTGCGTCAGGGCCCGGCATTCCAGGCCTGGCACACTATCCTCTCACATGTCTGAGGCAGTATCGTATAGAAATGAATAGGATGCTGCTCAATGCTTGGCATACTCTGATCTGTTGTCCTTTCCGAGAATATAATTATGGGATGTAGCTACATACACAGACACCTGTCAGGCCTGCAGAGTGGCAGGAAGTGTCCTGGACCCCCTTCGTGTCATCTGTGCGAGGGATCCTGGCCCTGGAGCAGCTTCTGGTACACAGAGAGACCTGGCAAAAGTGAAAGATTGTTAAACGTCTTCCTCTTGTCTGATTAAATAAAACTCATTTGTCAAACCAGAGTTTCCTTCAGTTGCGTTCACTAAAACCCGTTAGTGAACGCTACTGAATCCATGAAGCAGCTTCCGGCCTTTCAGTTAGCTGGTAGCTCGCTAGTCGTTTGTCTTACTGCTTCCTAGCCTGCAGAACTTAAACCCTTCATCTTATCGCCTGGCACCCAGCCAGGTATCCTGCAGAAAAAGGCATTCCAAGTAAAATTAGAGCTGCCGTGTTTGTGCTTCCAAACAGTATTCCCTTTCATTCCCTCTCTCCAAACTGTTTGTTTTGGTGCTCTTTTACACTCTGAGGCCCGGCTGAGCTGGAAAAGCAAAACATCTCCCTGACTTTGAATGCGATGACATGACTGCTGGAAGTGGATTCCCCTAGCTCAGCAAATGAAAGGAAAGGGGAGGCTATTTATCTCTTACCCTCCAAACGACACCAGAAGAAAGATTATTGCACATATCAAATATTAACTACCGAAGTACATTTTCCTCAAACATCCAGTAAATTGCATTACAAAGCCAAAAAAAAAAAAGAGGGGAGATGTCGGTCAGGAGTTTTTTCTTTAAAGCCTATTTTGATAGAAAGAGGCCTAAACTATCAGTCCTGACATGATCGGATTCCTATTAAAGTGGCACAAGCGCTGCATTCATTTCCTTGTCAGACTCCAGCAATAAATCTCCACACAGTCACCAACTGTGGAGCCCTGTGAACTTCAAGGAACCCTCAAGGGAAGCATTGTAAAACACATCTGGTGGATATAATGTCGTTTTGTAAGCTTTGGTAGGTCCTCATCAGAACCCAGCCTCTCGTGTCAAGTTGAAAATCAACACAGAGTGGGGAGGGAAGATGGGGGAGGGGGGAGCAAGAGAGCAGGGGAGTGGGGGGGGGGGGGGGGGGTTCATATGAGCAACGGGAGGAAAAGATTAAAAGAGCGCTCAGGAGAGAGATAAAGGGAGAGTGTGATTAACGACGGGTGACAGCTGATCATAGAGAATGTTCTCCATTTGGACTCGCTCTAACTGCCTGTCAGAGTCGATCAGGGGAGCTCAGTCATCTTGCTACAAAGGCAAAAAGACCTGATGCACTTCTGTGCTTCACAAAGCCACAGCCCACTGGAACACCCCCACCCCTGTCTCTCAGGTCCCTTCTTCAAACACATTTTACATCTTAATACATAAAAGGTATTGTTGCAGGCGGTCGTTATGCGTGCCTCCACCCCACCCCCATCCCTACCTCGTGCACCATAAACGATGGAAAAAATGCATTCACGAAATTCAGAAGCTGCTCCCAAAGGATCCAGTTACGGTAATTGATGAGTTTATAAGATGTGTGCTAACCTAAGCCAGCTTTCATACTTTGAGGGCAGAAGAAAAAGGGGGAAGACTTATTTTTTTCTTTTGGGGGTGGGGGTCCACAAAGAGGATTCCATCCACAGCTTCTGTATTTTTCCAACATAGCGATCTTGGTGTCGACTTGACTTTGACAATGACATGATGTAAGGAATCTGCTAATGTATAGCAGATTCCTGAATGTGTGCAAGCTGCCTAGCATCGCACTGATTGCAATGACTGAAAGAGCTGTGGAACTAAGGCCAGATGACGGGGAACATGTGATCAAATAAACCCTCAAAATCAGAGCCGCATTTGTTTGGTGAAAAATATGATTTTTTGTTTTCTGCAGCGAAGCACTCGGTGGACGATGTGAGGAATGGTCAACACATGGGAACGCCCGAGCATTTCTCATTACTGGATCTCGTTAAAACAAAAGGATACAAGATGTCTTCGGTGTTTTCGGCCTTTTAAATCTTCTGCTGTAATCGGACCTTGAATCGATGCAGAGAATACACGGCTGCACTGGAAATTTTGCTTATGCGAATCCAACTTTTCTTGGAAGAAACTATTAAGAAGGTCATTGCTCATATCAAAGTACAAGCTTGTTTCCAAAAACGTTGGGAAACGAATGTGAAAATGTAAATAAAGATCAGAAAGGCTTTTTTCCTTTAGTTACTCCAACATTAAGTGATTTAGAGAAGTTCAAATATAACAATTATGATTTTAGTCTTTGTTTTATTCTTGATTGAATAAAAACAAACATGTTTCACTTTACTAACAACAGTACCACTGTTGCATCATCTAGAATTTACCAGGAATTACAGAAACCTATTGTAGATTTTGACTTTTACCTACTAACACATCTAATTTAAACCGAACCTCTGTAAGACCGACAGAATTATAGCATGCTTTTGTATGTGGCGGCCATGTTGAAATGGGTTAACTCCAGATGAATCATTTGAAAATGTTCCTCTCATAATAAGTTTTTGAAAGTCTTTTTGAAATCATCTGATGGTTTGACAAGTTTTGATTAAACTACTCAAAAATGACAAAAATCTCACAAACATGCCTCTCTATATTCCGCTCTGGGTGATTAAAAAAACTCATTTTTAGTGCGACTTTATTCCTCTTCTAATTACACTCTCTGGTTCAGTGCTGTTATGCCAAAGTGATCGTGAAGATTTGCTGTTGTTAAAGTCATTTTTACAAATTTCATGATTGAGAATATTGTTTTTAAACAGAACTTTTTTGGAAAAGAGTCAAAAAAGTATATTTTAAAGGCATGGAATCCTAATTTAATCAATGCATTTGCAGTGGTCTCTGGTAGGAATGAATGCCTTGGGAGTCATTCTCTGTGGGCAAAAACCACCGGTGCACCATTTCCAGGAAAGTGAACAACATCACAGCTGAGCTTCAGACGGCAGGTTTTGGACTCTTAATTCATGATATTTGGACATCTCGCCTCAGATTGGATAACAGCAACACAACTCTAACACCAACATGCAATGTGGATGTTTTATCTAATAACACAAGCCTGGAGGAGTTCTGCTGTGTGGTGAAGTCACTAATGCTGATGGTTAGCTTCTACTAGAAAGACGTTCTCTGCTTTTTCCTGGAGGCTAAACCAACAACAGCCTTCCCCATCGCATTTCAAGATGAGTGGGCGCATGAACGTTAAGTGACAGTGTGACGTAGATCTGTCAGGCTTTTCTGATCCTAGAGTTTCATCGTGTATTTTCTATCAGAAGCTGATGCAGGAGGTAGGTGTAGGAGATCGTTCTTATGTTCAGCCTGCATGAAAAACTCAGAATGATTGATTATAATCAGAAATAAGATTTAAAAAATGTTTTTCAGTAATTCCACACCTTAAAGAAAAATGCCGATATGAGGACAGTTTCGTTACTCTTGAGTAAAGTATGTGACACATATTCTACTTTTGACAATTAGTGGATGTGACGCTGCTAGACCCTGACAGCTTGCCAGGATGGACAGTGATGAAGCATCTCCACAGTGAAGGGAAGTTTCAGTACACATTCAGTACGTGTCAAATATCGATAGAAACCATTTAGGATCTCTAGTCACGTTGCCCCAAGTGAACTCAAATGACTTGAACTTGCTGTAAGTTCTACCCACGGAGACAAACACCGTCCGCTGACAATAGTTTAAAGGATTTTGTGAACCCATGTAGTTATTTTGACAACTGTGTTGTGTGTGTTGTTATTAGAGAGCTGCCAGAGGACCCCCAGTACAAAGTTACTCAATACTTACTTTCAGCTTGTCTCTTTGCATGCTACGATGTCTCCAGATTTCTAATTCTTTTGACGATACTACTAATAAACAGCTGTGAAAAACTATGTCACTATAGGGGAATGTTTGAATTCAGCCGCAACAAAGGGTTTTCCAGCGTCAAGTTCATGCTAGAGCATCTCAATCAGATTTAAACCCAGATAATAACGGGGCAACTCCAAAAACGTTGTTTTGTTGTTCACTGTCATTGATGGGGCGTGCTTTGGCAAGAATATGAAGAGATGATATATCCATATATCACAATACAGATACAAAAAGCCAGATGATATGTGTAATTTTTAAGACTGAATTTAGTTGGAAATCTCAGACCAGATGCTTCCAAGTCACATCCAGTGTTATCACAAGATCTCGTTGTTTTGTCAGAATGAAGACGGTAAACACTGCTGCCACCTAGCAGTCGAAATGTGAATTACACCATGCAACAGTAAATGTTTGTATGTAAATTCTCAAAAAATACTTGATACACTGAAGAAACAAATATCGCAATATTTCAGTGTACTGATATTTCCTTACATCCCTAATCATCAGTGTCTAAGTGTGCTTGAACTTAAGGGGGCAGACTTTTTCCTTCAGGATTTTCTGCTAGAGAGCAAAATTCATGATGCCTTCAATTACAGCAAGTGGGTCTGAAGCAGCAAACCAGTCCCAGACCATCACACAACCTCCACCGTGTCTGACTGTTGGTGTGATGACTTTCTGTGATGCAGAGATAGTTTCACACCAGATGTAATGGGGAACACATAATCCACAATTTTATGTTAATAATAAACTATATTATAGCATTTATAGACAAATCATTGATCGACAAAATTTTTATTAATATTTTACACAGCATCTTTATTTTTTTTAAACAGCTTGCATAATAATTACCAATATAAAAGTATAAAAACAGTTAAAACTAGTTTTTACTAAAGTCTGTAAATTATGCATGATGCTGCTAATTTGAACAGTATGCAACTGAACAGGAAGGAGCTCGATAAAAATATCCAGCAGTGTTCATGAGTCCTGCATAAGGAATGTCCACTACCCTTGGCTTTAATCACCAACAAAGATGCAGAAAGGCATAACTCCCCTCCTGCCTGAGGACTGTAGCATCTGTAAAAGTGTAACATCAAACCCACCTGTTTTACCGCACATGGCCTCGTAGACCACCTGCTTGCCGCTTGACACGGATCCACTGGCTGAACTCTCTGAGGACATCTGCCTGTTAATCAGACACAGGATAAGTGTAAGAGAGGACTGAAAATGATTATTCTCTGAAGAGTTCGTGCGGGGTAACAACCGCGTTCACCTCTGTGGCCCGACAGATGCTCCATGTGGAGCTTAAAAAAAAAAGAAAGAAAAAAGGAAAATTTTCTGACAGCATGCCATTGTCTGAGTTTTTATGTGCGGCAACAGTGTCTGAAGACTCGTCCAATTACAAGCACAATTTGGAGCCAAATCCAAATAGTTGCTCTTTGTCAGTCAGAGGAGGCGAGTGAGGATAAGTGTTTACTGAGTGCCTCTCGAGAGCTATTGTGACAAGAAGGAGAGAAATTCCTGCTCCTTGTCCAGGGTGATGTGATCACCACGCTGGCAGGAGTACTCTGGTGATTACAGAGGTTACAAACAGGGAATGAGCCACCAGGTAAAGTCGCCATCCTTTCTGACCAGCGAATGCAGCAGTCTATCTACCGCAAGAGGGTTCACAAGCAGGTCTGAAAATGACAGAAAAGGATTTAAAAAGCCCCTTTCACATAATCAGACAGAGTGCACAGTGTTTTCTCAGAGAACACCATTACAAGAACTACTGAAGCATAGAGCATGAACAGGCACGTCTGAAACCTTATGCATTAAATCTGTTAAGCATTTTTTAGGGGGAACAATAAATAAAGCTTAGCTGGCATTAACCTCTCGCCCTATAACAGCAGCTTGCCAAAGGAGCATTAATAAGGTAATCAGGGTACACACTGCCTCCTTGTAAGGGGCTGCACAGTTGTTCTTTCATACCATTACACAACCACAAATAGAACTGGCCCTCTTTAAGCGTGGCATACCTCCACAGGAAGCAGCCTCTTTCATATCGAGTGGGCGGGGGCCCTGACCTCTGATTCTTCACATCACTTTCTTTGTCAACAGACTCTCGCTCTGTCACTTCGGGAGTCAGATAGCAGCCAGAAACAGTGCAGGTGAGAGCCGATTCTCAGCTTGCAGTATGTACAGAAGACACACGAGCCCCAAAGCTGCAGAATTCACACAGATCTGAAGTTCTTGTGCAAACACAACTCATGTGCAGCTTCGCTTTCCGTGCACGCCAGTGAGCGAAGGCGTCTTAATGCAATTCAGACCTGACCGAAGGGGATAAAGTTTAACCATAAACACACTTTGGCAGCTTCTGTGTGTATACAGGATTCAGCGAAAATAACTACTGTTGTGGCTGATTAATAGGGAGTGAAAGCAGCAGCTAGGCTGACATTAATGGCACTGCTGTAATTGTCACCCTATTAGTAATGCCACACGACAGCCCGGGTTTCCGTAGTTACAGCTGCGACTAACCAAACCTTGCAAACAAAATACCAAACAGCCTCATTTATTTGTGTTACAAATTGCTCCTTTCAAAGCCTTCACTGAAGTCATACCACTCTGAGATCTTGCAGCCCCTCGAGTTGGCAGCTGTGGTATGTTGATAGAGCAAAGAGAGCCCTGCCCTGCTGAGTGTGATACCAACAAGCTGCACACTCGCTCCAAGTACCCGGCCTTAAAATCAAATAGTGATGAGAGTTTGAGGAGGTTTGTTTAGCTGATCCTAAAAATAAATGCTCAGAAGTCATTTAGGCCCATTTCTAGAAAAAAATCTGACAAAACTCTGTAAGGATTTATGTTTAGATGCCCAAACAGGAAGGGAAATCTCAGTTTAGGTTCAATGGAAGGAGTCTGGGAGGGGTTGGATAACCTTGAACTCTGAATAATCCAGCAAGTGATGCTATTCTAAGTTTGAAGGGATTAACTCTATACAGCGATTGATTTCATATGTGCCTCAATAACAAAAGTATCAAGTTGCCCCTAAAAAAAGGGGGGAAAAAAACCTGGAAGTAACTTATTATCTCTCCGTTTTCTGGAAACAATCCTCTTCTTTCTTCTGGACGGAGTTAACTTTTCTCTGTCATTCTTTCTCTCCTTCCCCACCCCCTTCACCATCTCGTTCTTCTTACTTTCCATTGTTTCCATCAGCGCATTTTTGGTCCTGAAGCTTCCGTTTTTCCCACACTCTCCCCTGTCACACTGGTCGACCACAAAAATGCAGGACAGAGCGGAGTGTGAGGGGGTTCTGGAATTCCACATGCAGAAGGTAAACACTGAAACTGCCAGGAAGACACACACACACACACACACACACACACACACACACACACACACACACACACACACACACACACAGGAGCAAACATGACACCTACCCAGGTCGGTATTGTATATAACTCATACGCCTCACCCCTTAACCCTTTCCTTGCCAGGTATAGTTGGTGAGCTGGACGTAAGACGTCAGCAGAATGGTGTCCTCTGTGGACATTTACTTTATAAATAGCCTGTGCTCGGATCCTCTCGTGCTTTTTATTTTTTAGGTAACCCAAATGTTACGAGCTCATTGCCAAGTTTAACAGCCCCGTTTTAAACAAGGAACTGGTCCTGATCACAAAGCTTTGGCGCTTGTTGGATAGATGCTGCGACTAGTCATAAATGAGTGAGGGAAATAGCTGGCGGTTGAGCTCAGTTTCACCCCTGTTCCCTTTTTTATTTTTCCTTCTGTACTCTTCACCTTATCTCCAAACCAAACAGGATTTAAATGGAGCCCAGAGTCCAGACCCTTCCACTGAACCACGTTGTGTTTACGGTTCAGGCAGAAATCAGGCCTGTGATGAAGTTGTTTACCAAGCAGGCAGATACAACCCACGGCCAAAACACTTGGAGCCCTTCACTACACACATATTCGAACTCTCATTAGCATTAGCCGTGTCCCATTGAACTCATGGATCTCATGAACCCTGTTTCCCCTCCACTAACGGTGGCCAATGAAAGCTGCATTTAATGTGCTTCTATTTCCTGACAGCCACTCTTGATTCCTACAGCATTGGGGGAAAGGATCCACCTGCAAAACTAGACTCACTTCATTATTCGCTTTGTTGCCATTTTCCTGATTTCTCCGTCTCGTGTGCAGTTTGGTGGCTTTGGAGCAAAACCGGGACTAATACCGGTCTGGATCGGATTGGGATTGGGCCATGCATGAAAGGAGGATGGAGAGCAGCTGGGTGGTTTTGTGGAGACTTGTGGAACACTTGTCTGATCCGAAATCTGTGTCAAAAGAAAGAAAAACAGGCAATTACTAATGAACTAAAAATGATCATTGTTAATCTGACAACGATTTAGGGGAAAACTACCGATTTCATGGAACTATAGAGGAGGAGCATCCATCTATGTGAGTGGAGTAGTCTTTGGGAAGAAAAAAAGTCAAACTTTTCCCAAACAGAACAATGGAAGCATGATCACATTTTGGAATGAGGAGGTCACGGAAAAAGAAAAGGTGGCCACGTTTATGAAGGTACTTGGTATAAATCAGTTTGGATATCCCTGAAAAGCCATCCATTAAAACAAGCTTTTTGCTGTTTGAAGTTTGCTGCACTGAAAAGCAAATTCTTAACGTTATTTATTTGTTCATGCAAAAGCTCCCAAAAGCCTGAGGAAGAATAAACTGTTATTATTTTCTGACATATCTAAAGACACATTTCACTCCGTCCACGCAGCGCCGGCGAATGCGTGCATACATTCCTGTCACATCTCACGCCTGTGCCATTTTCTCTGCTGCTTTATACGGTTATCTGACAAGCTAATGGTTTTCCAGCCTGTCGCAGAGTGGCCGTTCAAAGAGCCGACGGGAATATCTGATGTAATTTCTGCGTTGATAAATGAGAAGCTGGGTTTCCAGGTTGCGAGGCCTATGGCCACAATTCAGTTTGAGCGGGGCCAGGAAGGGCACCTTTCTTTGGCTGCCAGGTGGCCCGGAGCCAAGCCGGTGGAGGAGCCACACAGTCTGCACCCAGTAACTGGAACGTGGACTGGAGCGCCGGAACAGACCTCTGTCTCTTTCTCTCCTGCAGCAGCACATACCCACAAATACACATGAGCACCCACAATCAATGCAGGATTACCATTTGTGTCTTTACTGGATCCAAAATCATGAATAATTCAGATGAAGCCAAGAAACATGCAGATCTGAGCAAAACAACTGAATGAATGAGAACTGTTTTTCTACTTAAAGTGTTTATTCACCAAAAATCTCGATCTTCTTGTTTCTTTAGATTTTGCTTCCAAAAAACAAGAACAACATTTACGTAAGCTGTCACACATAAGACGAGTGGCAAAAGGGGACCTACAAAAGGCTCCGTTTCTTTAAAGCTGAGGTGCGTAGTCTGACTATCTGAGCCCGTTCTCTGATATAACGTAGATAATCTTTCATAATTTATATTTACGCTAAGTCCCTCCTCTGGCCTCTACAGCACAATGAATCATCGGTGTGAGCTTGGAGCACTGATCAATCCACAAGAGGGAACTGTCAATCAACGGGAATGTGCCCCAGGTCCCAGCATGCACTGCAGGGTGACGTAGATGCCAATAATTGTCTGTTAACTTGAAGCTAACTGAGGAAGGGGAGGGAGGGGAACGAAAAGGGATTTTTCCTTTTGTGTATTGAAGCTAATTGATTAATGTAGCGTTCAACCTTGGACTATTGTTTTAGCCTGTTCTAGCGTTAGCAGGGGGGTTTTAGCATCACAAGTGCCAGATTCCAGCTAGACTTACATGTTTCTCTGCTTGAACACTGCAGATTTGATTAAAAATGGTGATTTGTAGTTCCTGCAGAACCCAATGAAGGCTGAGGAGATAATTCAGCAGTTAGAATCAGGTGTCTCTGAGGGAACATATAGAAAACATGCCGCTACAATGGTGTTCCGTTAGAGCTTCAAGTTTATTTGTGTGCGCAGTACGAGGCGTGGTTTTCAGCTCCTTTCAGATGGAGACAGGAAGCAGTGGAGGCAGCTGACGTCATGCTATGGACCACAGCCTTAAGTGTCTTGTGTAGGGCTACCAGACAAGACCAAGAGAAATATCACCATGACTGCAACAATTGAGGTCCAACCAAAAACAATGAAAAACAATTTTACTAAGAACAGATCGGAAAAAAACCGTCCGTCGAATTATTCTGCACTGTAAGCCGTCCCATGACAGCTTCCTGTCTCTGGTTCTCTCCATCAATCCCCCCGGACCTGGAAAATGAATAAGTGCACATATCCTGTAAGGATCCCTGGTCAGAGTGAAAGGACAGGACAGACAACTCTTTCTTAACGCTATAAACATTAAAGAAACATGGACAATTACTTTTCTAATCTACTGTTGGAAACAACCATCTGTCCCAGTGAGATAAACACCAATTATAATACTAAATTTACATTTTTTATTTAAATAACACAATAAAAGAGCTTAAATATGATCTATTAATAAAGCTAAGCTCTCTTTAGTGCCCTCCTGAGAAACACCTTTAAATGACTAACTCTCCAATAAAAGCCAAGAAGCTCAGCCAAAACATGGAAACCTAGAGGTTGAGGAGTCAAGTTTAGCCTTCCAGGAGTGAGCGTCTGCTGAGGAAGCTGTTGCCGCCGAACATCATTTCGCTGAGAGGATTTGAATGTGAATCTTAGAATTGTTCTGGAAATGCTAACATGAAAGTCTTCCTCTTGATGTGGGCGTATTTTATGTTTTGGACAGAGTTGTACTTAGGTAAAGGAATATTTTGCACAGACATGAGAGTTTTCCTGTTATATAATTTAACAGTTCTTTTTAATTCTTCCATGCTGCTTTCAAAGTTAAGAGAAGAAAAGCAAAAAGAAGCTGGACGACCTTCTCATCTGACTGTTTTCTTAAACCCTCTGGTCAGCATTGAGGCTAGCTTTGGCTGTACCAGGCCTGGGATTTGCCATCTGTACTATACTTGAAGATATATATATATATATATATATATATATATATATATATATATATATATATATATATATATATATATATACACACACATATATATATATATATACACACATATAAATACACATATATATATATATATATATATATATATATATATATATATATATATATATATACACACACACACACACACACACACATATATATATATATATATATATATATATATATATATATATATATATATACATTTATACATACAGATACTTGATTCTTTTCATAATGTCTCTTATCACCTATAGGCAGATGATATTCAGCTGTACTGCTCCTTTAAGGATTCTGAGTTATACAAACTGTCTGAATTACTAGAGTGTCTATCAGCTATCGCCACCTGGCTAGAAGATAACTTCCTTCAGTTAAACTCTGAAAAGACTAAATGTCTGATCATTGCCCCTGAGAGCATGGTTCCCCTGATTAGTTTAAGACTTGGTCATTTATCCTGTGCCATCAAGACGAACTTAAGGAATTTGGGTGTTATTATTGACCAATCAATGTCTCTTGAAGGTCACTCAAAAACGTTGGTCCGAAACTGTTTTTATCATTTATGAAATATCTCCAAACTGCGAAGGTTGGTGTCAAAACATGAACTTGAAATGGTTCTCCATGCCTTTATCTCCTCCCGTCTAGATTACTGTAACACACTCTTCACATGTTTTAACAAAAAAGCCCTTGACCACCTTCAGTTGGTCCAGAACTCTGCAGCGAGGCTCCTAACTGGAGCAAACAGAAGAGCACACATCACTCCTATTCTGATGTCTCTGCACTGGTTACCCGTTACCTTTACATTTCATTTTAAAATCCTAATTATAACTTTCAATGCTCTACATGGTCAAGCTCCTCCCTATATTACTGAACTGTTAAAGCCTTATGCTCCAACCCGAGCCCTCAGGTCCACACACCAGAACCTTCTAGAAGTTTCAAGGACCAGATACAAAAGTCGAGGTGATCGCTCCTTCCAGACTGTTGCACCTCGACTCTGGAATGATCTTCCTTTATTCTTACGCAGCACTGACAGTCTGGACACTTTTAAAAAACAGCTAAAGACCCTTTTATTTAAACCTGCTTTAAACTAAACCGTTTATTTTTTTATTTTTAGCTCAAATTTTTAATCTTTCATATGTTTATGAAAATTTATAATTTTCATGACTTTATTTTTTCTGACTTGAATCTAATTCTGTTTTGAGAGCATTTTGATTTTATGATGTTAATCTGTTTATGATTTTATGACTTTGTTTTATTTTGTTTTGATCTATGTGAAGCACTTTGTGATTCTATGTCTGTGATAAGTGCTAAATAAATAAAATTTACTTACTTACTATTTACACTCAACAAAAATATAAACGCAACACCTTTGTTTCTGCTCCGATTTTTCATGAGATGGACTTAAAGATCTAAAATTCAATCCAAATGCACAATATTACCATTTCTCTCAAACATTGTTCACAAATCAGTCTAAATGTGTGATAGTGAGCACCTGTGCTTTGCTGAGATAATCCATCCCACCTCACGGGTGTGCCACATCAAGATGCTGATCTAACATCATGAGTAGTGCACAGGTGTACCTTATACTGTCCACAATAAATAATAATAATAATAATAATAATGATAAAATAAACAAAAATTATGGTGCCTATCTCCAGCAGTCAACGGGCAAGTAGGCGGGGTACACCCTGGACAGAGAGCCAGTCCATTACAGGGCAACACAGAGACACACAGGACAAACAACCATGCACACACACTCACACCTAAGGACAATTTAGACAGACCAATCAACCTAACAGTCATGTTTTTGGATGGTGGGAGGAAGCCGGAGTACCCGGAGAGAACCCACACATGTACAGGGAGAACATGCAAACTCCATGCAGAAAGATCCCAGGCCGGGAAGCGAACCCAGGACCTTCTCGCATCAAGGCAACAGCTCTAACCACTGCGCAGCCCCTACATAAATATACATATATGTATATATACACACACATATATATATATATATATATATATATATATATATATATATATATATATATATATATATATATATATATACACACACATATATACATGCATACATATACACACTCAAACACACACACACACACATATAGATATATATAGATATATGTACATACATACATAAATGATATAATGAAATAATGTAAGAGAGACAAAAGTGTCTGATGTACCTGAAGCCTGGAAATGACCTGGTCCTGAATCTGATGATGAGACTTCAGTCTTTGCTGTTGCAGCTGCTGGATAGCAAACTCAAGCTGGTAGCTTCCTTGAGCTGGTTGATAGTGTTGCACAGGGTTAAGACCTTTCACCAGGTTGGACGAAGTCTGCATCCGTCCATCCAATGGACGCTCCTTGTCCTTTAGTGGTCTGTAGATTAGTAAGAAATGATGGGAAACATCAGAAATACCAAATAACCTGATGCTCTTCAATCCCAACTGGTTGACAGCTAAATATTTAGCATGTCTACATAAAATCAACCTGCAAGATAATGCAATGTTCAATTAAACACTTGTTACAGTACGTCCCTGTGTCAAGGTGAAAGTAGAGACAAGTGTATCGTCTTTTTCTGTGTTTGTTTGCAAGATTCTGCAAAAATTATGGGACAAGTTTAATAAAACTTAGCAATTTTCATTATGAGAAAAAGGAAAATTTAGATTATTATTGTATAGAATTCAAATAAAAAATGCAGGCAGGTTTTACTAAAGGTAGTATCCTAGAGGGGAGTAAACTTTGAAAAGGTCAACAACCACAGCATCTTAATGGCTAATTGTGTGCCTTTAAGCACCTCTATAATGAGAAATAACAGAATTGTTGCAGCATCTTTGTTTAATTTCACCATTCAACCTGGAGATTTAACAGCAGCTAAGAAATCCCCCCATTTCTTTCCACGTTAAGATGCAGAACCGCCAGTAAAACATAAAACAAGGCAGCTCACGGCATGCTAGCCAGTGGCTGCTAGACCCGCAGAAGCCTCAAATCAAAGTGTGCAAATCAGATTCAAAGCAGAGGGCAAGTCTGTGGCAAACAGCGGCCGAAGTAAAAACCTTTCCTCTTAGCCTCAATGCTCCCGCTGCTTCACGTTCCATTTACATCACGGAGCCACAACCTGGAAGGCAAACCTTTTGACGAGCTGCACGAGTTTGTAACTGGATTATCTGCCATTAGAACTAAGCCTGTTTCAGGAGGGCTTTTTTTAGCCTCCTGCTAAAGCAATGAGGTGACCCGCCTCCCCTTTCAACAAGCTTGAATTGAGTCTATGTGGAGTCTGGTTTGCTGCTGTATATATAAAACTTCAGCCAAAAATAATGCCATAAAGAGCCCGATTGGGAGCTGCAGGGAAGAATACAAAAGAATGACGGGGGTCTTAACGACAAAAATGTTCTTGGAAATTCCTCCCATTACATATAATAACATAATAACATTTGTCCATAAGTCTGCAGTTAAAGGAAACACAGCAGACCTAAAATCACAATAGCTGCTACATTTTTAGTACCAAACCCTGATAAGCTCTAAAATTAGAATTCAATTAATCTTGAACAACAATGAAAACTGTGGGATAATAATCTCGTGTTGCTCGAGTGGAAAAAAATGTTCTTGTCCTGTGTGGCCAAACAAAAAACACAGGGGATCTTCAACCCATGTTAACATGCTATCCGCCCATGCGTTTCTCACTTCACATTGTAACGTCCAGCAATGGTCAGTTTTTAGGTACTGTTTGACCATTCAGCATCTGGTCAAAAAGGAGACACGAGACTGCATGTGTTCCCTTTAAATCAGCCTGCCTTCATCCCACCAGCTGGAGCTCAGAGCCTGCAGCTCTGACATAGACAATGAAGTGTCAATAACAATGTCCCTTCCAAGGTCCCTCACAGAGCACCCTTTTATCTAAGACTCCTTGCTTCACAGAAGAAAGAAGATTTAAAATCAAATATGAACTTCTAAAACTAATAAGCTAGATAATCATTAAATAAACGTTTGTTTATTGCTACTTATGATAATTAATATAATGAAATGCTTTCATTAAGCTGTGCTCAATGATTGATTGCATGTCTACTTAACAAGGTCCTAACCATTTGCACTCACACAAGAACAAGTAAGGTAAAGTTAAACCCATGACACATAAATAGCCTTTACCCCAGATCAGAGCCTCCGGTATCAAAGAAGGTGTGTTTCTGAGATTCTTGGTAATATTCCTCAAACTTGTCAACCTCTGGTTGGCCACACAATCATAACATGAGAACATTACAACCAGATTATTCGGGTTTTCCGTCAGTTCTAGAGAAGCTTCAGACCGGCCACCCGAAGCAACACCTCTTTAACCACCAAACCTTTTGACACGTCGTCAAAACCTTTTTGCACCTGCGAAGCTGATACAACAAAAAACTGTTCCTGCAGAATAAGCTGATTTATCCAACTCCTTAAGAGTTACTCCTGAGACGCAAACTGGTTCCAACTGTCATTACCTGGAGATGACTCTGGACTGACCCGGTCGTACTGTAGTTAATCTACGGACTCCGGTACCTGGGGTCTCCGACGCGCGTGCCCCCCCACCCCTATAAGAGTATTACAGCTTATTGGTCATAAGTAGAGGTAATATATATACTGAGCTCTTAAAGCACTCAATTTACCAAACCCTACAACATAATAGCACATATTACAAAAACTACTGCTTTGACTACAGGCCAGAGTGATTTTTTATTTTTATTATTTTTTTTAAACAAAGGCTGGTCTGTGAAACTTGCAGATTCTTCAACGCAAGAAGACAAAACAAGAACTTGTTCCTTGTTTACAGCCGTTACTTCCTCTTCGTTAAGTGCAGTTTGCACACTGGACCTCAGAGACCTTCAGTGCTACTATTTTATAAGCATCGGGTTGAGCATGTGCTTCCCTTGAACAGGGTGTCATTGTCGACCCCCTCGGAGTGGTCTTCGACACGAAAAGAATTCTACAGATTACTGGGAATCTTAAAACCAGGAGGAAGCGTTTTGTCCAACATAGCAACAAATGCAATAACGGACACAAAAAACCCGCTAGTTATGAAAGAGAAGAACAGATTTACATCTGACTTTCTCATCATGGCACCTGTGTAGAGCTCCAACTATCTAGGACTCCCCTCCCCAGCCGGACGTCTGCACATGGGTGTCAGCTTACTCCACACTGTGCTCGCCGTCCTTTAATACGTTGATCTAACTTACTGCTGAACAACAGAGCCGTGCGAGAGCACATGTGCAGCATCAATCTAACTCTGAGTGAATGTGGGAAAATGGACCGTTTGAGATGACATCATGCCAGAGTATCTTGAAGCCTTGCCTGGTCAGTGTAAACATCAGCTGCCTCAAGAGTGTGAGGGTATTTCCAGCCATTAATCAGTGTTTGTTTACAAAGCTCTACTGCACCAGCACCACACAGGAGTACGGTTAGGATTAGGATTATCGTTCAAATACAACAAAATTGTTTTTAGGGTTTTGTTCAATGTGGAACAATCAAGAATGTTTAAAACTATAGACCTGATTTGTAGGATGTTCTAAATAAAAAGTTTTAATACTACCAATAATAAAATTACATCCTTAACAAAAGTCTTTCAGATTTTACATACCGTAAATCCTCTAATACAGGCCCGGGCCTGTATTAGAGGATTTACGGTATTTATTTAATTTTAGGGCTTCAAATGAGAATACATTTACCTGATTAGAAATGACTAAAGAAATAGAAAAGAAAAATTAGCAAGGCCTTGAAATTTGAACACCTTGTTGTTACAACTAAATTATAGTCCTATAACATCAATCTCACATTTACCAATTTGAGAATAGTTTCAGCAAAGTGTAGATTAAAATACTAAATATTTGTATGAAAAAAACACAATTTGAAATTACATCATAGGAGGCCAGTTAAAGAGTGGAGACAGGATTTAATATGCTATCTTTTAAATGTGCAAATGAAAAAAAAATACATACATACAGAAAAAACAAAAGTTCATTAAAGCATAATCAACAGTTGAGTTTCACAATCCCAGATTGTTTACATGTAAACAAACAGTTTGGTTTTAAACATGTTTGGATTAGCTGGATAACCAAATCAATGCACTGGAATCTCTTGTTGTTTTTACCTAAAGGGTTCTCCTTTCTTTACCAACATCTGGCTCCAATCAGAGGGAACAAAAACTTCTCCTCTTTTAAACTCACAGAAAGACCAAATCTGTGGATTTCTCGTCATAAGATTTTCATGAGTGTCTTTTCTAAGATTGTTGATTAATAAAAAAGGACATGTATAAATTTGGAATATAAGACAAACTTAAATATAAAATTAAATAAGCCCCATGCCAGCAGACTCATTTCATGGAGCCGTAGCAACAGAAATAAATAATGTTTTTTGTTTTTTTTTGGGGGGGGGGGGGGGGGGGGGGTTGCCATTTGGGCATATTAGACCAAACAGAACTATACTGTAGAAAGGGTAGGGTTAGGCTCAATAATACGGAGAGTGCAAAGGCCTATTGAAGCATGTTGTTACAAAATCATTCATGATGGCAGAGGAGTTAAGCACCCACCTCGTAATTGGAAGGTTACAGGTTCAAACCCCGTCAGTCACAGTCACTGTGTTCTTGGACAAGACACGTGACACACCTTGCCTGCTGGTGTTGGTTGGAGGGACCAATGGCACCATTGTTCACCAGTCTCGCTTGTTTCCATTCTGTGGCTACATTTAGCTCATCACCACCAGTGTGTGAAGGTGTGTGTGTGTGGGTGAATGACTGGCTGTGTTGCAAAGCACCTTAGGGGGTTGTAGAACTATAACAAATACAGGCCATTTACTGTCATGTTCTGTGTCCCTTTGTTCCCCAGCCCCTCCAGTTGCCACTCCAGGTTCTCCTTTTGTGTTTCATAGCGCCCTCATGTGTCCTTTGTCTGCATCTCATTTATGTGTCTCTGTGTTCCTCATTTGTCCCGTGGTCTTCAGCCTTCCAAATATATATCTCAGGTCCTGTGTTCCTTTAGTCTTCTCCAGTCACCCCTCTGCAGCCAGTCATCCCTCTGCAGTGTTTATAGTTTCAGCTTTTCATTTTATTAGTCTCTTTTATATGTTTTGTCCCACCAGTCTTTGTAGTTCTCCTTCCCTTTAGAATATTAGTTATGTGGTTGCTTTTCTTGTTTTTAGGTTTTTTCTTAGGTCATGTGAGTTCCCTCCCTGATTAAGTATTGCTTTCACCTGGTCCTCTTCCCACACACCTGCAGGTCATCTGCCTCCCATCATGCCCCAGTTTATTTAAGCCCTGTCTTCTCTCAGTGTCTTGTCGGTCCATTTTCGTTGCCGGTGTTGTTTTGTCTGTCTCATGTGTTCTCCTGATCTTGCTCATGAAAGAGCTTCTGTTTTGCCTTTTTTGCCAGCATTTGCCTTTGGACTTATGCCCAGCCTCCTAAAATAAAAGGAGTTTTACTTCATATCCACTTCTGCCTCGTGTCATCCTGGGTTACTGCATTTTGGGTCCAAACCATCCTCTCAACGTGACATTTACCACCATTTGTTCAAACTGTAGCATTAAAGTTATAGTGGTGATAAAGATAATTTGGCTTTTATGGGTTATTGTTTAGTGGTGAAGGTTCTCAGTCGTCCAGGTCGTGGTAATCCAAAAGGGTTCAAATGAAGGCAACTGGACTACTTTGGTTCCTTTAAGACGTTTCGCTTCTCATCCGAGGAGCTTTGTCAACTTTGACTGGAATAAGCTTGACTCTCCCATATTCCAGTCAGAATTGGCAAAGTTCCTCGGATGAAAAGTGAAACGTCTTCACGAAACCATAAAAGTCCGCCCGTCTTCATTTGAACCCTTTTTGTTTAGGTTTACTAGTAAATCTGACTGCCTGCTATGTGAGTTTTAAAAAATGCCTCACAACAACTCAAGTGCTTTGAATGAAGGCAATCATAAAAGAATGCAGATGTCCAACACAGGAAGAGATGACCGTGTGGGCGTATGAGGACACACTGTATGGTTCAAAGCCCTCTGATTGTCCACACAAAAGGATTTAGGCAACGGTTCTGAGAGTGCTGATGCAGCATACCTGTTAGATCCCGGCAGCAGTACTTCAAAGAGGCGAGCTGCTCTTTGAAACCCATCATACTTCACCCCTGTGGTTGCTAAAAGAGCCAGTGTGCTTAACAGTTTCAGTATGTTTGGCACTAACCATCAGTCCAAGTGCAAGGAGAGGGGGAGGAGAGGGGATGGGACTCAGGAAATATTTTAGGAGCGGATTCGGGATGAAATCAAGACAATTTATCCTAATATCTTATTAAAGACATTCCAGTACAATGGTGCCAGACTGAGAGTCGAGGCACAAGAGAACTTTTTGTATTCCAAGCCAGTTTCTCTCATGGATTTTGGGAATGTTTTCCTAAAATGAGAAAAGCTGAAAGGTACACCCATACTAACATTTATTCTCCGATGAAAGAAAAACTAAAACAACATATGGAAATGAAATCTCTAAAGAAACAAAGTAAAATGACATTTTAAAAATCAGCGGAAACATACAATCCATCAGAGCAATGGATCGATATAAATGTGATTTCTGTTTCGAGAGTATCACATCAACAATAGATGAAGCCATCTGTAAAATTACAAATTCTATTAAAAGTCACTTCTTAGTTTGTGGAAATAAACCATTTTTTAAATAAAAAAAAGGGGACCAGCCAGACATTCCTGGAATACCCTGACAGCTCGATACATTTAAGGACTGGACTGGAAAAACAGAGTCCGACATCAGGGCCAAGTTGTCTGAGACATTACCAGTCACAGATTACCAGAAAAAAAACAAAAGGAGACCATTTCTGCTTAGAAGATGTTGTATTACACTTTCATTCATCTTTACATTTGTAGCTGGGGTCTCTACTAGCATGCACCGTGGCCACGTCAATATTTGGTCTTTTTCAAAGAAGTGCGACGATGTGAGAACGTGGGAACTTTAGAAGACTCAAAGACGAGACAGACATTGCACCACCACCTCCAACACAATATTATTGTCAGCTTGCTTCATATATTGAAGACACCCAGCAGCCAATTCTAATGCTCTATTCCACAAAGTCCAGCTAAAGTAGGAAAAAAGTTAATTTTCCAGACATAGAGTTGCAAAAAAACTGCCAAGAGGGATGTTGGCACTCCAGTTCTTTTCCAAAGACCAACAACCGTCAATCTAAAACGTTGTCAGAGATCATTAAACAAGCTTTTGGATTCTATTGAGTGTGACCATATAGGCCATAAGTGTCTGAAGGGAAGGAGATTAAACAGAAAATTCTCAGGACGGTAATTTGATATGAATGAAATTAGATTTGGGACCTCAACAGCTTTTACTGAAGTTTATACAAACATAAAAAATGATTCTGTAAAATCAAACACAGCACACTGTGGAGATAAAAAAAAAGAAAAAGATTAATGAAGTGGTTTTCTCGCATTTGTCTAAACACCTCTGACAATAACATGTTTCGGACTGAAACTATTGGACCAACCGGTTGTCAGTCTCCACCGGTGTGAGAGGTTCTCCGCTCAATAATATCAGAGCAGGAAAACTAGCTGGCTACTACCCCCCTTTAACGTTAGGACAAACTACCAGAGTCCCAAAAAGTAAAATATTGTTTTAAGTCACAGACAAAAAAATGTTTGGACCAAATAAAAAAAAAAAAACGGCAACTGGTGTTTAGCGCTATCTCGTTTCCTCTGGAAATGCGGGTTTCGGGGTCCAATAGAAGCGTCTCAGGGAAGATACCCGAGGGTAGTAGGGGTGACTGTTCCATGCCCATGTTTGCGTTTAAAACTTAGCTTGTTCTGTAAAATCACAGCTTTAAAATAAGAATTATCTTTGATTACAATAATATTTATTTTTATACAGTTCCTTTGTAAACTTTTCTATTAGAAGAAATTTTATCAACTCATTAAAATGGTTTGAAACAAAAATGGATCAATTCTCATGTGTGAATGATTTATAAATGGACCTTCCAGTTCAAAGACATATAAGGCATCTTGTGTCCTTCAGTCAAGCCTTAAGATAAACAGTGTTGGGATAATGAAGGTACCAATGTCATTCATTCCAAAGATATTTACTGGTCTGTTCTGTAAACGCTTTGTCTTCTTGAACGTACCTTTTGCTGCTAATTGGTTCCTTTCCACACTGAGCAGCTCTCGCGGGCCTTTGGGTCGTGGCAGCTTTGGGGTTCAGAGAGAAACTCTCTCTTCCCAGCATCCTGCTGGCCAGATTCAGGCTGCTCAGCTGTGGATAGCAAGGAAAACTTTGTAAAAGTCACAATAATTTAACTTTATTTACAAATACACTGTCACTTATGCATTAAAACAGCGTAATCTCTCAGCAACTAAATAACTACCAAGTCAAACATCTAGACATCCGTCAACCCTGTGTCTTCCTCCCTTCGTCTACCTCTTTTATCGCCTGTATTTATGTGAAATGTACACACAGAACATGGCACAACTAGTCTCCGTTTAGCAGTAAATCCTGCTTCCCCCCGCCCCATCTTTAGCAGGATCAGTTATCATGACTCATCAGACCAAATGTGCTTCTGACCCGATTCGTAGCAAAAAGCACCTTTGTGCCTCTCTGTATTCTCATGAGAATTATGTTCAGTTAAAACCTTACGGGAGGATTAATCACACTGCTGTGCTGCTTTATTTACTTTATTTCCTCCTGAGCGCTGCATGTCCACTGGGAAACTTGTACTCCTGCCAAGCTTTGAACGACGTAAAAGAAAAATGTGTTGGCATGTTGTTGCACAGCCACAGCTCTGTTCACCTATTAAGTTTGGATGTAGATGTGTACTTAAATATTATTTCTATGTGAATCAGCTCCATCAACGTGTTTTTTGAATTGTTTATTAAAAAATGCACACATGCCAAGGGATTCACATTCGTATAGATAAATCAGTGCACATGATGGCGATTCCTGGCTTTTCTCAATTTTAGTCTGCTTTTGTTTATATTTCCCCACATGAGAGTGAGTAATTCCTTAAACCTAGAGGTCAAACATGTAACTTAGCATTTTTCATGTTTGCAAAGTTCTCCTTTTAGCCCAGAGTGATTTAAAGACTTCAAATCTGAGTCCTAAAAAAATCTACATGCTCCTTGAGCCCTTAAGTGCCAAACATTGGACTATTTGATCTCAGCTGCTGCTGAGTCCTGGGCTGACTACTCTTTGGGGAACATGGCAAACCCTTTTCAGATGGACAGAATAATGTATAATCAGAAAGGAAGCCATAAAAACTTCAGTCTGTGTGGTCTGGTGCCATCACAAAAAAAATTTGAAAATCCAGCGCAGCAAAGCAGGAGGTGAAGGAGCAAGTAGAGGGTGGAAAGGTCTCGGGGTTCCCAAAGCCGAGGGCCAAACCATTGGGAATACAGGAGAAGGTGGCGATGGAGCCAGCCAAGCTGCCACTCCCGTGCTCGATGCCAGTTTGCCACATTCCTACATTTATAAGCATCAATTACCACAAAGAAAAAGAGTCTGCTTGTTAAGTATCACCAGAAATCACTCCCCCATGGTGCTTCTGATAATGAGACCTCACACAGAGCCATGGCTCGACGCGGCTCACCACTCTTTAGGCCAGGCAGTCTCTAACTTCACTTCCAGACCCCCACCCCAGCCCAGAGACTGAAGGCAAGCTGAAGACTGAGGGAGGAAGGAGCGTAGTACGAGGCAGCAGACCCTCCGGCTCCAACAGGTCTGCTGACAAAAAATAAAATAAAAAACCAGGGAGCAACTAGCTGCTGCTCATCGGCACTGCGTCTGAGCCGGATTTACGCATCAACAAAAGGAAATATTAAAGACCTCACTGTGAGAGACAGCTGGTTCCTCCCCCTTACATAAAACATCACACCGATAGGCTTACTCAAAGCAGCAGAAGCTGTTGGCTTGGTGGACTGAGAGCATAACAAACCTACATGTTGTGTCAGCAGGTTGATGTGACTGCTGCTGGCACAGTGGCGAGCGACCTGCTTGTTAGCCAGTCTCTGCAGGGCTGAGATGAATGCTTGCTGGTTGGACTGGGCTTGGGCAGACAGAGACTGTAACTCCCTAAAAGTCCCCACCGAGTTTGACCCACTGGAACTGCTCCTTCTGATTTCTAAACACATAGAAATAAAATGAATGAGAACATTGTCTTAAATCGAATTGAATACGACACGTAATGAACCTAAGGATACCTTGGCCTGCAGATGTGGGTCTAGAGAGCTTCTGGTTATAGGTGTGAATGACAGCTGGGCCTGAGGAAGTTTCTCCAGAGCTTGATGTGGGAGTAGTAAAGCACTGATTCCTTCTGATCACCTGACCAAACTGCCCTGTGGTCACAGTGCTCGAGGCGGTAGATGCAGCTGTCCGAATTACTTTTGAAGGTTGTGTGATAACAGGGGCAGAAGTGTAGGCAGGAGGGTCAGAATGAGTCTCAGGATGACTAAAGTGAGACTTGGCCAAAGACTGAGCATAAGACGGAGGCTGAGGAGGAGGCGGAGGCGGACAGTGAAGAGGAAGGGATGTCGGAGCGAGAGAGCGGTGCTGCAGATGAACGCGGCTGCAGTTTAAAGTCAGAGGAAAACTGGAGGAGTGCTGAGACGACTGGACATCTGGCTGAGATTTACCAGCTGCAACCTCTGTCTGTTGGTCTGAAGGCAACCTGGATACAAACGGATGAATCTCAGCGGCCCGGAGGTCTGGGTCGCTGCCGATTTTCCCTGCAGAAAACGAGGACTCCGAAGCGCTGGAGTCCACAAGGAAAGCTGATCAAAGAAGAAAAGAAGCCAGAAGTCTGTTATCATCATTCTTTCACCCTGACACATATTTGTTTTCCCACAAATATTTCTAATCATTTAAAGATGGTTTCACCTTTGTTGCTGTTTAAAAAAAAAAAAAAAAAACTTGCTTGATTAAAAAAGACAAAATTGGAGCTTACATGATGACTTTTTATGATTTCCTGAATCCTGAACATCTTTCCTGACACTCGGGACTTTAGTTCCTAGGAACACCATGGCTGTTTTATGTTTCTGAGTGTAGAACGTCAGCACCTCCTCCAGATCAACTTCACTTCAAATTATAATAAAAACACAAGACACGAATATTCAATACAACCAGAATGTTAAGCACAGACAGGTTTAATTGTGCTAACCTAGCTGCAGTGATGTACTCCTGGAAGACACTTTGGTTAACACAACACTTCTCCTGAATTTTCTCATGTTTTATCTCCATCTGTTCTGTTTCCTGAAAACATGAACATGGCAGAAGTTGTATTTGATTTAAATATTATTATATAGCTTTTTTTTTTGTTTTAGTCCTTGCACAGAAATGCCTTTTTTAAAGACTGAAACACCTTGTTATAACAGCGGAGAAACTCTCCTAACTGGTGGGACAGGATGCGTCTGCGGTCTTGAAGCGGTAACTGGCGATTTGGGAAGACAACCTTTATATCTTGCTGAAGGTTACAAACTGCTCTTCTTAGGAATCGAACCACCAGCTCCTGTGCAAACAAATGAAACACGAATAAATGTAATAATTATGTGCTTTTCCTTAAAGAATTCTCTTTAAAAAGCTAAAACCTTGAAATTCAACTGAGCACAAATCTGTGCAAGTCCACGCAAATTTTCCTAATAGAATTGAGGCTGCTGCTGCTGATGATGATGTAGACTGAAAAGTTTCCAGTCAGACTCACTTCAACAGTCCGTGTTTTCCCTCAGCATGACCACAAAAGTCCCATACACATTTCAGCAGCAGCTCATGAGTGACAGAGTAATTAGAAATGAAATACATACAGGGGAAACAATGCTTCAGGGTAGTCTGCCGTTTTACCATTTGGTCATTGTCTTTGTCTGGCCATGCTGGGACGGCGTTAGCTCTGCTTTCTGCTAAGAGCCGATGCTGGACTCGGTGCAGGTAGGAGGAGAAAGCTATGCGGGCTTGGACTTTACTGAAGATGAGAGATAAAAGAAAACAAAGTAACGAAAGAGAAACATTCATATACTCTATGGCTTCTCTTGATTGGCAAGACCAATATTACTAACAACAATGAATTCAAAAAGTTAAACAAAAAATGGACAGATCACCCTGCACGCATAAAATGAAACTCAGCTGGTGTTTCTTTGATTTAAATTTTAAAAGGGGACATATTGTAAAATTTCTATTTAGTAATAATAGTTCAATAGTAGATAGAGCATGTGCCTATGAGGTTATTTGCACTAAATCCCTCTCATAAAGCGATTTCAGCTGTTTTAATTTTGACATTTTCAGCACCTTCCAGAATGAGCCATTTCAAGACTCTGTCATTTTAACTCATTCACTGCCAGTGACGACTAAAGTTGTCATTTGCATGTTTTTACTGTGTGGGCATCGGAACGAGCCCCCGCACCATGAGAATAAACATTCCAGCTCTAAAGCCGATCTTCATCCGTGTACGTCACACGTCACATGATCAGGAAGCAGAAAATCCATGTGTTAGGAGATCGTTTTAGGCCGCTGCTGTAAAAAAAAGTGAGGCGCGAACCAGAAAAGCTTCTGCCGATCACAATTCAACAACGGATTATGAAAGACTGTATAACGCTCGAAACGCGCAAATTCTTCCTGATGTAAGAGGTGAGTCTATTCTTGGTTTTGTTAGTTTTGGTGTTGACATCATCATTAAGCGCAACGTGACTCTTAAAAAAACTAAAAACGCTGAAAAACGCTGGCAGCGAAGGGCTTTTCTGGTCAGGAAACAGCTGGCAGTGAATGAGTTAAGAGAATGACCTGGAGCTGGCCAAGCCCACTAATTCTATTAGCTGAGAAGCTCCAGCAGCAGTTCTCTCTCGCACATGAGAGGTGGTTCTAGTCTAACTTCTCTGTTTGTGACATCACAAACGAGAACTTTTTGAAACTGCTCGTTTTAGGAACATAATTCCTAAAACCATACACAGAAAACAGATGAACAGTTTTCTTTCATGTTTGCAGTAAAGAGGCAACAGACACCCACATGGCTGCACAAAAGGATACACAAGCTGACATTTGAGTAATATGTCCCCTTTAAGCAACAGAAGACAATTAGTAATGTAAAATATTTAGTTCTTGTTATGAATGAATTCATCACAGCTGAAAGTTCTATTCTTCCTTTGTGCTCCGTTTTCATTTCAGGGTGTTTGGGCTGGGACCTCCTCTCTTTTATGACCCGTGCTTGCAAAAATGTTTTATTAGCTTTCATTTTCTTTTAGTGGCTTCTGTTTAAAAAGGGTCAAAATTCTATGAAGCTTAAAAATAGACTATTTGTCATTTACAACGGTGACGAAAAAACTCCATAAAGCTGATGTCATTAATCTCAAAAACAAGTTTGTATGATAAAAAAAGAGGTCTACAACTGTGAACTGTAATGAACTGATAAATAGATAAACCTGTAGAAACTAAATACAACTGGAAAAATATATTTAAAAATAAATAAGAGCTAAGTTTTATTTTTCTTGCACATTAATGTAAAGTTGACTTTTTATTATTGTAATTCCTTCTTTGATTTTGCATTTTTAACAAAAAGAAAACAATGAAATCTCGTTAAGACCAATAAAACCCCTGCATGCAACAAGGACTTGACTTTCTCAGACTCTTTCTGCTCAGTGCAGCTTCGTAACTTATAAAATGCAGAGGTTGTAAACATGAAGGAGATGAGGAAGGCAGCCCAGACTGACCTGAGGTCCCACCCCTGCTGAAGGATGTTGAGCAGGTTGACCGTAGGTCTGGCATTGTGCACGGCTGCCTCTAAGCTGGACAGAGATTTGTTGTGGCAGCGCTCCAGTGGTGTGTCCACTTGTTTTCTTTGCGCCGTTACCAAAGCCTTGTGTGAGGCTGGCTCAAGAATTGGTTGCGCCTCCTCTCTTTCCTCCTGAGCACACTCCTCTGCCTCCTGACTCCTGTTTTCAGTCAGGGAGGCCTTGGATTCCCTCCCTGAGGTATGCAGCAGCATAAAAACAGTCAAATGTCAGTTACATCACTGGCATTTCAGATAAAAATACACTTATACAAAAAAAGCTTTTATTGTTGCAACAAAGAAATGAACTCACTGAGAGTCATATTTGGCCAACCTCACAGTGACACAAGGGAGTTATTTATTGGAACCAAAAGTGCTTTAGCATGTGGTGTTAGCCGCGTTCGCAGTTTTCTGAACTGAGGAAGTTACCCAATTTTTTCTTTCTTGCAGCCGAGTGATGACTCAGGTGGCGCTGTCTCCTTTTCCTCGTCTCCAGAGACAGCAGCTTCCTCTCGTACTGGACGGCGTGACAGCCGTGGACTGTGTCCACCTGCAGCTGTACACTCCCATTCACATTCCTGAGAGGCAGAGCAAGACTTGTCAGTGCAGCGGTACCAACAACAGCACGTGTGATTTATAAGCATATCATCAGCAATTAAAAGCAGAGAAATGCTTGTAAATTTCAAGCCATTTGTAAAAAATGTTAGCGCAGCTTGTCCAGAAGCTTGAAGGTCCAAAACGGAGAACATAAATGTCAATAACAAAAACTGAGGCCTCGCAGCAACATCCTCCCTAGTCCTGTTACCTAACAAAAATGGGAAAACCATGGCTTAGTTACACAAATCTGGTTAAAACTTCAAAGTCCGTGCTCAATCAAACAACCCAGATGTGTGTTAAATTATAAAAAATAAAAACCAGTTTTAGTACCAAGGCAGAGTTCAAATAAAACAGTCCTGCACCCAAATCAGTGCAACAATGTTTATGGATTTTGGGTACGGGTTGGAAAAGCTGCTTCATCTTTTTAGCTAGTCCTCCTACCTATTCAATAAAAATGTATTAAACAAAGCTCCCATTCCCCAAAAACTTCACTGAGAAAGCCACCCCTCACTTCCAACCACAATGGAAAGGCTTACCTTCCATGGAAAAGTCTGTTGGCCAACATGAGGTTCATTGATGTCTTGGACTCCAGATATCCACTAAAATAAGAGAGAGAGATAGTAAAAGCTGTGCAGGGATTTTAAAGACAAAGGGATCTTTTGTGTGACTTTTGTCTTTTTGCAGATGACATTATGTTATATGTGCTAGATGAAATTAGCACACTAGGCCCTGCACACAGAGTTAAAATGGCCCTTTTGGTAAAACCCTACTGCCCATCCCTGCTATAAAAAGGACATTAACAAACATCTTAAGTGATTCAACTGTTGTTTAGCTCGGATTACCCATAAAGCTCCCATGTATCGGCGGTGGGGAAGATCCTTATGAAACCTCCTCGTCTCTCATACTCTTCCTTTATCCTCCTCAGGACTTTGATCTAAATGAGAGAAAAATATAAAACATGATTTCTTCAAAGAAAAGGGTAGGTTTTATTGAGTCATTACATAAAAAGTCGGCCTGGCCTCACGTCTTTTATCTTTTTTTCGGCATGCCAGAGTTTGCCTTACCTCCTCAGCAGTCAAGCTAAGGGTGCTGTCTCCTTGGCTGTGTTTAGGTCCTTGCTTGTCTTTAAACCCATCTGTTTCTGAACAAACGGCCGTCGCGGGCCTCTGTCGCTAAGGCATGAGAGTAGAGACGATATTATTTGATGATGTCATCACCAACAAGTATCGTTTAATAGTCAAAACTGAGTTCCCTATGTAAACGTATAGTCAAATTGTATTCACTTTAGCACTTACAGCACAGTCGATGCATGTCTACATATTTCACTTCCATTTATGAAAGAAAAATGTCCATGCTTTTCTTTTCCCCATTACAAAAAAAAGCATTTTTGCAATGCACTGGCATCCCGACTGCCTCTCTGACTGACAGCTTTGGCATGTGGTTTGGAACTCAGACCAGATAATTGGGCACAACTCCGCAGGATCACATTGGAAATTTGTCATCTGAACAGCAGGGGGATTATGTTTAATTTGTCTTATGCTGTTGCAGGGGTACAAAGGCAGCCAAACAAGTGACAAGAACAAATCTCTGCAAAGGTTTCAACCGTTGCTCCTGATCAGAGTGAAATGAGAGGGCTGGTTCTCTGTACTGTTCTGTAAGAGCCTCTAAAACAGCAGTGGGCAGCACTTATATCCAGACATGGCAAGGTTTCTGTCTTCTTGAGACAAGTGGCGCATCGCAGCATCCTGGGTACTTGCTTATAGAGGCAAATTTGCTAATGTAATGAAGGTTTGTTAAAAAATTACAGCTTTAGAAATCAATAAAAGTCATCTGTCTGTCACAATGAGGAACTTGCAAGGCCACATAATCAAATCAACAAGAAAGAGTAAGCAGTTTCTTACCGGTAATGTATCAAGCATCAGAGATTTAGTAGAGGGAAGAGGCAAAAAAAAAGAAGATTCATAAGTCTGAGTCAGAGGAAAACTTACCAGCCTGATGTGCACAGTGGGTGTTGGTGCAGAAAAACACTTCTGGGTGAAGACATTGCATTTGCATTACTATACAGACAACATGCAAACCACATCAACATACCACAATGAGACTTTTGTTACTGTGTCTAAACAAGCTCCTTAACACGACACGAGGTGGAGTAGAAATCTGTCTGTTTAAGTAATCTTTCTCCAGCGCTTCGAAGCCAAAACGTGGTGCAGTAGTCGAGCAGCGGAGCCAAGTGCATTAGCGACTGTGGCATCGTTAGGCAACGAGACCCAGAGAGAGCATTAGTCATTTGATTAGAAATGATAAAACAATAAGGCACAGAGCGCAGCGCTTTCAAACCGATGTCAGTCAAACACTGTAATTACATTAGCAGTTGTTTTGCATTACAGTAAACTTTCCATGAGGGTAAGAGACGAGCTCAGTGGCAGCAGCAGGAATGCACTGTGAGCAACACGAGGATGACAACAAGAATGTGTTTCAAGGAAGGGTCAGAGAGTGCAGAGTTGTAAGTGTGTTGGTGGGCATTTTAGTGTCCTCTACCTGCGCTCGTTGAGCTGCCAAATACTTTTCTGAGGGGACTCTGTCTGAGCGAGGCAGTCTTGATAGCGGGTCTTGACACACAAATCCTGCGAATACACAGACTCTGGCTTTAAAAGTTGCTCAATCTTCTCAAACCGCATCAACTCTGAAATATGTGCATGTGTTACACCACCATGATGCAAAAGTGTAACATGAATACAAGAAACAAAATCAAAGGCATTGTAGTTTGCAAGTTTTTGTTTAGAAAAATAGATGTGATATGACAACAAGCAGCTGCCTAAAGCATAGGATCACATTTAATTTTTGAGAAATTTTGTGCTGTTCTATCATCAGTGGTAGAAAAAGTATTATCCTGAGATTTAGTCTATAGTTAAAATAACTTTAAAAAACCTAAATGTGACTATCTAATCTTATCTTTCAGGATTTATATTTCCCCTAAGCCCCTCCCCCCTGGCTTCCAGAGCTAAATAAATCACTTACATGAACCTAGAGCACTGATCAATAGAGTTACATATCCACAATCAACGAGAATGCTCCCCAGTTCCTATCTGACTTTTGTTTTAGCCTGTTGTTGCATTAGCAGGGGTGTGCTAGCATCACGAGTAGTAGTTTCCTGCTGGTTTTAGATGTTTCCCTGCTTGAACACTGCAAATGTAATTAAAATTAATGATTAGCAACTCCTGCAGAACCTAATGAAGGCTAAGATCATTCAGCCGTTAGAACCAGGTGTGTCTGAGAAGGAACATATCCAAAACATTACTTGTCCATTAGCGCTACAAGGCTGTTTGTGTGCGCATGCGTGGTATGGGGTGTGGCGTACAACTCCATTCAGAAAGGGTGGGGAAGCAGGGGTGGGAGCTATGGCCATTCAAATTTCTAATTCTCCTCCTTCTCTCCTTGACGACGTAACGCTACGGACCTCAGCTTTAAGGCTGAAAATAATCAGTGTTTGATGGAGCTATTAACACCAGAAGCTAATAGGATTTTTCAGTAAAGAGAAAAAAAATTGTAAAAAGGTACTTTTTGATAAAAATGGAACCAATTACTAAGTCACCTAAGCTAAACCTTCAGGTATTACTATTATAACACATCACCTTAAAAATAAAGTTGTTCATAAGGGAAATGAACCATTTTCTTGCAGAAACACACAGCTGATGATTTAGAGTTTAACGTTCACCACTTCACATCTCATCAAGATGTTCCCACCCTGTCAGAAATATTTATGATTGTAATTTTATTGTTTATTGTGTCCCACACCCTCCCAAAGCTCACCAGTGGTCGCAGCGAACGGTTTAATAAATTTGTTTGTGTCATACCTCGCACTCCCACATGAACTAAATGAAGTCTATTGACAGCTCAGAGCTGGAGGCTGTTTGTTCTGCCTCATTCAAGCCGTCAGCTAAGCATCAGCCTCCTGCCACGCTCTTGCCTAAACACGGCAATTATTACAAACATTGGCGACATGGAGTTGACAGCTACACGCCAGCAGAGAATGAATGCTAATGGAATGCTGTCATTATTTACAGGACTGGGATGCGGCCCAAGTGTTATCAGCCAACAGCGACTTAGTTTGTTTGGTACATAATAGATGTGCTGTGTTTTACATGCCACTGCTCATTCTCTCTAGGCCTGCAGGAACGTCTCAGTCCAAAGATAACTGGCAATTTATGATTCTACTCTTTCATTTAATGAGCCTGAGGGGAGGGTTTTCAAGCCACTGCATGGCCTGGGGTAACACACACACACACACACACACACACACACACACACACACACACACACACATGCCCAATGCGCGTAATGGCCATTCTTCTAATATCATTAGGCTGAGACCTCGGATAAACATAATGGCTGTTCCACTTTAGATGGATCTTAAGTGGGTTGCTAACCCTTTAGGCGCCAGAGTTTTTTCTAGAAAATATTCAATGTTGACATGACTATTTCAAAAGGTTGTAGCTTGGAAATGGTTATAGATAAAGGTAAACTGTAAATGAGAAAAATCTTCAGTAGGACACAAAGTTAGTGTTGGGAGCAAAGTCAATCATCAAACTTGTATATTATGATCTCATCAGGCTGCCATATCGGAATGCATTATTTTTACATGTTATTTTGAAATTTACATGATATTTAGACATGTGTATTTATATACACATATAAAGCTCTATTTTTATTTTTATTTAAAATTTTTATGAATTTGTGGCACACTTTGTCTTCCACATGTAATGCATCGGCATCTGCTGCTTTTTGCGGGTTTTCTTTACATTGCCGCTACGTCTGTCACATTAGCGTTGTTTTAACCATCCTTTCTACATCCATCATGTCCCAAAGACGGTAAAACAAACGTCAAACCCAACGTTTGGAGCTTGTAAGTGCAGCACCAGCTGTCTGATGCTGCACGCTGCGGCAGCGTCAATCCTTCCAGCTGGATGAGTCAATTTCCTGCTTCATAATCTGAGTCAGTCATGACCAGACAAAGAAATCAGTCAAAGACCAGACCTGCCGGCAATTGTAAGTTTTAGCCCTCTAATATTTGCCCTCTTCATGCTGCGCTCACCTCGTCTCCTCTCCCCGATCGGGAGCCTCTCGGCGGGAACTCCATAATAATCATATTTGAAGCCATGGCTCGTTGAAGTCAGCAATGGTGCTTGTTGCAATATTGTGACTTTGGCACTTAAAGGCTTAATACGAGCAGTTTTAAGAAAAACGCCAGGGATTACATAAAAAGTTCTCTCTTTCTAATTTAATGGGGACATATTATGCAAAAATGACCTTTTACATCTTTTCATGCTGGCATGTAGGTCTCTACTGCCTCTAGAAACACTCTAAAAGTAAAAGAAACCTATTCACCTGCTGTCTGTCTGTGTTAGGTTTAAGGAATTATGAGCCTAAAACAAGCTGTTTCAAAAAGTCAGAAGCAGCGGCTCTACTCTGAGACCCTCCGAGCTTCTCAGCCTATAACAGCCTCGGTGGGGTATGGGTGGGTGTGTCCAGCTCCAGATTGTTTTCTTAAGCCCTTTTATAAGACACACCATGCCGGCAAATGGGTGTGATATTACCACAATGGTATGTCTATAAACGTGCCATGCTGGCATGGCGTTGCACGAATTTTGCGGCATTCGTTCCGCCTCGCTTGGTAGCAATATTGCGGTAATGGTCTGTCGTATGCGCCCTGGCGCTACAGAGGCAGATGTCATGATGACGTGGGGAGTTATTGCTAAGCTCCGGCTGGCAAATTTATTGAAAATGAAAGTAAACACAGGCAATAAGGTTTGCTTTTTGAACAAAATCAGCTGAGACGGCAAACTGGAGCGCCGCAGCGCTTCATGAGCCTCTCTGTTAGAGCTGAAGCTCAGATCACCAGAGACTGCACAGGGACTGATGGGGACAGACACCTTTAGGAGCTGCTTGTTAAAAAAACTTAACGATCACGGCTTCATTCGCAATAAAATGCAAGTTATGTCCAAGATAAACGGAAGTCTGTGGCAGCGCAGAAACGGCCCCATACCCCCTTTATGCCGCCATCACCTAATATTTTATAAAATTGCCACGATTGCGCCACATTACCGCCATGGTCTGATCTTATAAACGACCTTTATCCTCCCCATGGAGCCGCGGCAAATCCCGTTTTGCAAACGCTATGGTCCTGTAAAAACAGCTTTAGAGTGACAGAGCCCTCAAAAGGACTCATTCTGGAAGGTACTGAAAGTGTCAAGAATAAAACTGCCGTTATTACTTTATGAAAGAGCGATTTAGTTCTAACTAACTCCATAAACAACTTTTGTATCAACCATAGAGCTATTATAACTTAGGGAAAAAAGTCTTCTTTAAATGAACCAGCTAACACTTTTTCTAAATAGGAATTCAGTAATAATTAAAAAAGCTGCAAAGGTCTAATGACATTTTCAAGTGCATCTTTGCCGCCAGTCCACTGCCAGTTTAAGTTCCAGCCCCACAATCCTGAACAGGACAAAGCGTGCACGGAGAATGAATGAAGAAGGGAGGAGACATAACAGAGATACGTATCATTCTTGGCTGCCAGGTCCTGTTGTACTTTAAATACAATGTTTACCTCTGCTTTGGGCTTTTATGATTAATGACGGGGGAAAAAAAACACTAAAGCTTGTGTTGACAATTTTTATCTGCGAGTAATTTTATCTTAATTAATAAAGGCTGTGGTTTATTCCATCAACACTGGAGCTCCTAGTTTGAACTCAGATAGCTATTTTCAGCCGTTTTGACTTGTGGGAAACATTCAACAATAGACAACAGTCTCAATAAGTTAGAAAAGTGCAGCAAGAGGCGTGTTTTTGGACTGGTAAAGATAATACTGAGGTGCAAAACCTTTATTTAAATGATAGGATCTGAATTTTTTTAGTTTTTTATTAAATGATTAAATATTGTCAAATAAATTATCTCAAAAACTCTCAATATTCTGTGGGAATTCATCTTCAAACTTCAAAATTGTAAATCTTAACGCCGGAAATATTTATCTTATTGTTTATTATTCCACTAAAAACAAACATGTAACAAATAAAAACAGGAATTCCAAAAGGTGAATTCCCTTTTTGTTTGAACATGCACTCACCCACAAGCGAAAACATGTCTGCAATCATGCTAGCCTTTATCTTCAGATCCAGCGGTGCATCACTATAAACAAGTAGAAGTTTTATTTAATTAGATGAAGTAACAAACATTTACATCATACGTGCATATGTCACAGCAAAGCCAGCCAAATGTCATGAAATGATGTTTAGACGAGTAAACAGTTTAGCTTTTCCAGTGTTTGCTTTTGCTCAAATTAAGCAATTGTCCTTCAAAGGAAGAGCAATTGGAAAGTCTTCAGAAAGAAACAACAAATAAAATAATCAAATGTTTGAGTCACTCACCAAGACAGGGAGGGAGAGAGGTTCACCTCTAACAGCCAGGGTTTGAGGTTGGAGTCGATGAGGACATCAAAACCGTAGAGTTCTGCAGAAAGGGACAAGCACTCATCAGGTTTTCACGGCAGGAACACGAGTCAGGAGTCGAGAAAAACCTCAGTGGCGCTATAATCAGTAATGTCATGAGTCAGGATGGTGCAAATAAAAAAGTGGAATAAAAATGGAAATGTGTATATTTCTCTTGATAGTCAGTCATTTTCTCACTACACACCATTTCTAAAAGAAATAATCTAATGTAGAGAAACTATATAGTCATTTCTGTCAACTTTGGACAGTAACATTTGCTGCAATCTTGTGCAGCAACTACAGTGGGATGCAAAAGTTTGGGCAGCCTTGTTAATAGGGAAGTGACTCTTAGAGCAACTCATGATTTGATTCGATTCCGATTCTTGGGGTGCCGATTCGATTCAGAATCGAATCTCGATTCTCAATTTAAATCGATTCACAATCAGTATTAACAAAGAGTGTCAGCTCCAGGATGAACTTCTTTGTTGTACAAGTTAGTTAAAGCTATGGGACATTTTTATTTGACTTTAAACTGGTCATGCTCCAAAAATGCTAATTTACAATGTAAAATAAAGTTATCCTAAAACTGTAAACAGAAGCAATCTTTTGACCAAAAGGCAACATTTATTTTTGCTTACCTTGTACAAAATAACAAATCTGTAGTTACCTAACAGTAGCTTTGAAAGTAATATGGTCAAATACTTTTCAAGTATGTGTAGAAACAAGTTACATGAGTAATCCTGAGTACTCATTTATCAACTTAGAAAATAAATATGAGAATATCTCAAATTTCTGAGTATGGAAAAAATTACATTCAGGTGCCCTCTTATCAGCAGATTCAAACATAAATCATCTCAATTTATGGGACCACAAAAGTAAACAGAGTACTGACTCTCCTAACAAAGATCAAAAAGTGCAACTCAAACCTGTAACATGCCAAATATTTGAGTTCTTGGAATCGATTCTGAACCTTTGTGAATCGATTCTGAACCTTTGTGAATCGATTCTGAATCTTTATAAATAAGAATCCCGATTCAGACTTTAATCGATTTTTTTCAGCACCTCTAGTTGTTAATCATGACTTTTCTGTATAAATCGTTGGTCGTTACTATAAAAAATTTCACTTAATTAAATCATACAGGAGACACACAGTGATATTTGAGAAGTGAAACAAAGTTTAATGGATTTACAGAAAGTGTAAAATAATCGTTTAAACAAAATTAGGCGAGTGCATAAATGTGGGCATTGTTGTCATTTTATAGATTCCAAAGCCTTTAGAACTAATTATTTGAACTCAAAACTGGTTTGGAAAGCTCAGTGGCCCTTGACCTCCATACACAGGTGAAACCAGTTACGAGAAAGAGTATTTAAGGAGGCTAATTGTACGTTTCTCTCCTCTTTGAATATTCTTTAAAGAGCACCATCACCAGGGTCTCAAAATAACTCTCAAATGAGCTGAAAACAAAGATTGTTGACTATAATGGCAGACCAATAATAATCTAAGTCAGAGTCAAACCGCAGACCACCACCAAAGACCTACAACATCATCTTGCTGCAGATGGAGTCACTGTGCATCGTTCAACTATTCGGCGCACTTTACACAAGGAGATGCTGCATGTGAGAGTGATGCAGAGGAAGCCTTTTCTCCGCCCACAGCACAAACAGAGCTGCTTGACATATGTTGAAGCACATTTGGACAAGCCAGCTTCATTTGGAATAAGGTGCTGTGGACTAATGAAAATAAAATTGAGTTATTTGGGTGTAACAAGAGGCATTATGCGCAGAGGGAAAAGAACGCAGCATTCCAAGAAAAACACCTGCTACCTACAGTAAAACAAGGTGGTGGTTCCATCATGCTGTGGGACTGTGTGGCCAGTGCAGGGACTGGGAATCTTGTTTAAGTTGTATGGCGCGGTATGGGGGCCAAAATTAAGACTACTGCCCAGCAGCAGGAGGCTATATAAGTTCCGAAGCAAACTACTGATCTGATTAATGATAAGCTGGCACCGGTAACTGAGAGGCTAGCGCTGCTTACTGAGGAATAGCACCTTTATCAGCATTATTACTAGATACGCTAGGGACTAGCAGTCCTTGGCTGGTCATTGACTGGTTCAAACACTCCCTCTGCTGTCTATTAGCATGGATAGGCTAGCATTAGCCTGGACGGGCTGGTGTTAGCATTGGAGAGGCTAGCCATGAGCGTGCCTAGGCTGGCCACTAGCTGGATTTCCTATCCCCTTGACGGGACCTTAGGCATGGATGGGCTGGCATTAGCATCGGAGGGGCTAGCCATTAGCATGTCTCGGAGAGTCACAAGTCAGCTAGTGGCCAGCCTAGGCACGTTAATGGCTAGCCTCTCCAATGCTAACACCAGCCCGTCCAGGCTAACGCTAGCTTATCCATGCTAATAGACAGTAGAGGGAGTGTGTGAACCAGTCAATGACCAGCCAAGGGCTGCTAGTCCCTAGCGTATCTAGTAGTAACGCTGGTAAATGTGCTATTTCTCAGTAAGCAGCGCCAGCCTCTCAGTTATCTGCGCCAGCTTATCGTTAATCAGTTGGGTAGTTTGCTTCAGAATTTATATAGCCTCCTGCTGCTGGGCAGTAGCCTTAATTTTGGCCCCCATACCGTGCCATAAAGTTGAGGCACGCATGGAATCCAGTCAATATCAGCAGATTCTGGAGGCCAATGTCCAGGAATCAGTGACAAAGTACAACGTTCTAGAATGTTCTTTTCGGTCCCCAGACCTGAATATTATTGAAAAGCTGTGGTGTGAGTTAGTCAGCTGACCACGCTCAATAGCCATCAAACCTGAATGAACTAGATATGTTTTGTAAAGAAGAATGGTCCAAAATACCTTCAACCACAATCGAGACTCTCATTGGAAGTTACAGGAAGCATTTAGTGGCTGTTATTTCTGCAAAAGGAGGATCTACTAAATACTGAATTCATTTATTTTTTGTGGTGCCCAAATTTATGCACCTGTCTAATTTAATTTAAACAATTATTGCACATTCTGTAAATCCTATAAACTTCGTTTCACTTCTCAAAAATCACTGTCTCCAATATGATATATTTATCTGAAATGTTTCATCCCATCAATCAACGATTTATACGGGAAAATCATGAAGATTTACAACTTTTGCATCCCACTGTATATGCCCCCACTGACTCTCAGCGATTGCTGCATGAACTCTAAGCTCAATTTCTGTAAAATGGACTGAGTCTCAGCCAATTTGGGTTTGCACGAATCGATTAGCTGTGGAGGCCATCCTAAATTGGGTTTATTTCAATAATTAATCATGTATACGTTCAGTGAATGATTTCTTAAGAGTTTAGCAGTGGATAATGACACAAACAGGGACTAAAAAACATTTTAACCCCACCATGAGGTCAATAAATGTCCGACTGGAGAAATAAATCTGGAAGCTAAAATGTGAGGATGTGTCCCAAGTGGCAAAGGCCTCAGGCAGTGTGTTGTATGTACTGTATTTCACTCTAGTAACAGCTCAGCACTGAGTGACACAATAAAAGCCTTTCACAAAGTGGTCACTAAGTTCCCAGTGCAAAAAATAAATAAAAAAAATCATCCAATCCATCTCACTTTTCTCTCTCGTTTCACTGACTGATGTATGGCTCACTGCAGCAGCCGGTCTCGGTGCCATATGAAAGGCCTCACACTGCTCTGGGGAGTGTCACCCAATAAGCCACCGGCCCCGGCAGCAGCGTGCAGCAAAACCACAGTCTTTTAAAGGGATAGGGTTAAGCCCAGCCAAAAAAGCCAGGGGGAAAATCCTTCTAATGGAACTTCAAAAGAACAGACTGTGTTGAGAATAGGCTGAGGGGGATGGAGGTTTCAAAGCTGCAATAACCAGCTCTGTTTGTTCTAGAATCGCAGGTCAATGCCAGTGTTAAGGACACAAAACCCAGCATGACAGAAGACAAAGACCTGATGCTGCACTTGACATCACACAGATAAAACGTAGTGGTTCTACACAATAGCTGTTAAAAAAGGATTATTAACCAGCCGATACGAAAATATGAGGGCACATTTAAATAAAACACCTTCATCGGGCATCGTTATTACTCTTTTAGCTATCTGAGTCATATTAATAATTAAGACTTATATGTGCGTGAGTGGTTGTAAGTAAGTAAATTGCATTACCTCACGAATGGACTACGCTAAGCACTAGTGATCGGGACTCCAGCTTCAGCCCTGTATCGTCTGCAAATTGTGCAGAATGCTGCAGCACAATTTTTGACAAGAGCAGACAGACGTAGCCATATGATCCCGGTTTTGGCGCACCTTCACTGGCTATCAGTAGCATTTAGGGTTAAATTTAGGATCCTGCTGTTTGCATACAAGGCTTTGAATGGTCTGGCACCGACCTACCTATCGGCCTCTTACTCACACCCTATGTGCCAGTGTGCTCGCTACGTTCAGCAGCCCAACTGCTACTCTGCACCCCGACAATGCGCTACATAAAGGGGGGGGGGGGGGGGGGGGGAAGCTTTCACATATGTAGCTCCCAGGCTCTGGAATGCACTGCAACTACCTGCCACTCACCATCCATTGGTGTCTTCAAGTCATGCCTGAAGACTCACCTTTATAATTTTGCTTTTAGATTGTGATTTTTATCTTTCCTTTTTTTGCTGTTTTGATCTGCTTTTATTTTGTCTGTTGTATTTGTCTGTTTTATTTGCATTTTATTTTTCTGTTTTCATGTTGGGAGGCACTTTGGTCAGCTGCCATGCTGTTTTTAAATGTGCCATATAAATACATTTGGTATGGTATGGTACATAGCACTCATCACAGACAGAAAATTGCAAAGTGCTTTGCATAGATCAAAACAAAACAAATAAAGTTATAAAGTCATAGTGATCTTAAAACAGAAATAAATTAAAATTAGAAAAACAAAGTCCATCCATCCATTTTTTCTGAACCCGCTTGTCTATGTAGGGTCGCGGGGAGGCTGGTGCCTATCTCCAGCAGTCAACGGGCAATCAGGCGGGGTACACCCT